TATTGTGAATAATGCTACATCTGTGCCTGTATCTTTATGATGTTGAAATAATTTTCATTCCCACAAGAGTGTATAAGTGCTTCTTTTTCATCACAACCTTGCCAACATGTTGCTTTTTGACCTTTTAGTAATAGCCTTTCTGATTGATATCAGATGGTATCTCATTGTGGTTTTGATTCGCATTTCTCTAATGATCAGTGGTGCTGAGCTTTTTAATCATATGATTGTTTGCCACATGTATGTCTTCTTTTGGAAAATGTCTGTTCATGCTCTTTGCCCACTTTTTAAGAGGATTGTTTTTCTTTTCTTGTAAAATTTTTTAAGTTTCTTATAGATTCTGGATATTAGACCATTGTTAGATGCATAGTTTGCAAACATTTTCTCCCATTCTGTAGGTTGTCTGTGTATTCTCTTGATAGTTTCTTTTGCTGTGCAGAAGCTCTTTAGTTTAATAAGATATCATTTATCAATTTGTGCTTTTGTTGCAATTGCTTTTGGCATCTTCATCATAAAATCTTTGCCTGTTCCTGTGTCCTGAATGGTATTTTCCAGGTTGCTTTCCAGAGTTTTTATAGTTTTGGGTTTTACATTTAAGTCTAATCCGTTTTGAGTCAATTTTTGTATATGGTATAAAGAAGGTATCCAGTTTTAATCTGCTGCATAAGGCTAGCCAATTATCCCAGCACTATATATCAAAAAGGGAATCTTGTCCTCATTGCTGATTTTTGTCAGGTTTGTTGAATATCGGACAGTTGTAGCTGTGAAATCTTATTTCTTTCTCTATTCTATTCTACTGGCCTATATGTCTGTTTTTGTATTTGTACCATGCTGCTTTAGTTACTGTAGCACTGCAGTATAGTTTAAGTGGGATAGCATGATGCCTACAACTGTGTTCTTTTTGCTTAGGATTGCCTTGGTTATTCAGGCTCTTTTTTGGTTTCCTATGAATTTTAGAATAATTTTTTGTGTTTGTTTTTTGTTTTGTTTTGTTTTTTAGTTATGTGAAGAATATCAATGGTAGTTTAATTGGAATAGCATTGAATGTATAAATTGCTTTAGGCAGTATGGCCATTTTAACAATATTGCTCCTTCCTTTCCAGGAACATGGATTCTTTTTCCATTTTTTTGTGTCCTCTCTGATTTCTCTGAGCAGTGATTTGTACTAAAATAACTAGAGAACCAAGAGCATAGTAATCTCAAAGCTAGCAGAAGACAAGAAATAACCAAAATCAGAGCTGAACTGAAGGAGATCGAGACAAATTTAAAAAATTCAAAAGATCAGTGACTCCAGAAACTGGATTTTTTTTCAGTGTCTCTCTCTGTCACTCAGGCTGGAGTGCAATGGTGCAATCTCAGCTCACTGCTACCTCCACCTCCTGTATTCAAGTGATTCTCCTGCTTCAGCTTCCTGAATAGCTGGGACTACAGGCACACACCATGACACCCAGCTAATTTTTGTATTTTTAGTAGAGATGGGATTTCGCCATATTGGCCAGGCTGGTCTCAAAATCCTGACCTCGAGATCTACACTCCTCAGCCTCGGAAAGAGAGCTGGATTTTTGAAAATATTAATAAAATAGACCATTAGCTAGACTAATAGAGAAGAAAAGAGAGAAGATTTAAATAAACACAATCAGTAATGATAAGGGGGATATTATCATTTACCCCACAGAAATACAAATTATCATCGCAGAATATTATAAATATCTCTATGCACATAAACTAAAAATTCTGGAAGAAATGGATAAATTGCTGGACACCCTTGATGAACATTGATGCAATATCCTTGATGAACATTGATGCAAAAATCCTCAACAAAATACTAGCAAATCCAATCCAGCAGCACATCAAGAAGTTTATCCATCATGATCAAGTAGACTTTATCCCTGGGATGCAAGGATGGTTCAACAAACAAATCAATAAATGTGATTCATCACAGAAACAGAACTAAAGACAAAAACCACATGATTATCCCAATAGTTGCAGAAAAGGCTTTTGGTAAAATTCAACATCCATCCATGTTGAAAACTCTTGATAATCTAGATATTGAAGAAACATACCTCAAAATAATGAGAGCCATAAATGATAAACCCACAGCCTGCATCATACTAAATGAGTAAAAGCTGGAAGCATTCCCACTGAAAACCGCCACAAGACAAGGATGCCCTTTCTCACCACTCTTATTCAACATAGTATTAGAAGTTCTGGCCAGGGCAATCAGGCAAGAGAAAGAAAGAAAGGGCATCCAAATAGGAAGAGAGGAAATCAAACTATTCCTGTTCGCAGATGTCATGATCCTTTATCTAGGAAATTCCGTAGTCTCAGCCCAAAAGCTTCTTAGGATGATGAATAACTTTATCAAAGTCTCAGGATGCAAAGTAAATGTGTAAAACTCACTAGCATTTCTATACACCAACAATAGGCAGGCTGAGATCCAAACTCCCTTTCACAATTGCCACAAAAAGAATAAAACACATAGGAATACAGCTAACTAGGGAGGTGAAGGATCTCTCCTCAAGGAGAACTACAAATGTTCTTTTAAGTGAAGCAGATAGAGTTGATCTTTCCATATTAAAGCTGCTAGATTAAAAGAAAACTAGAAAGCCAAGTTAAATTTAAATATCTAAGAAACAAGAAACAATTTTCGGTCCAAATATGACCCAAATACTGCATGAGACATACTCATACTAAAAAATCATTCCTGTTCTATTTAAAATTTAAATGTAACTCAATGCCTTGTATTTTATCTGACAATCAAATTCCATGTCTTGTGAAGAAAGGAATCGTGAATAGTTTGAGTAAAGAAGATTTTGTCTTTAGGGGATCTTAGCAACAGGAATTCATTTGTTGTAAAGTAACAAAAGCTCTTAATTGTCCTACAAATATTAATTAAAATTTAGCAATCGCTCTTGATTTGAGCAAAAAATAAAATGTGAAGAGAAATATAAATAGGTTTACAAAACAATGAATACAAATAAAATGGACCCTTTGCAGAATAAATCTTTCCACTTAAAACAGGAAATAAAAAGCCCAATTTTGAATGTCTTTGAAGAACCTTCAGATCACTCCAGATGTAAAAATTATGCAAGAGAATGAAAGCACAGCCTTTTCTACTCATTTTAACAGATATTCATTTCCTTTGAAGTGGTACATTTGAAGACCTTCATATCAAGAAGCATGTTGCGATTAGCTATGAGCAATTATCATTCATTTATTTAGATCTAATGTAGTGTTACAAGAACATCTTATAACCAATATCTGGTATATATCTAAAATTAAGACAGTCCTAGTTAGTTGTAAAAAAAACTTAATATTCAATGTTTTAGAAAGATAAAAGCAAAAATAGATATGAAAATTTCTCTGTACGAATATAAGAATTCTGAGTGGTAGCTTAACACATTTAAAATTATCATTGCAAAGACAGACGTCCAGCTAATCGCGTCACACTATTTTCCTATTGCAAGGAAATATTTAAATGTATATCTCTTTAATGAAAATATTTATTTGTTACTTCTGTACATAATTAATAGCTTGGGACCTGAAGTTTAGGAAGTTGGGACCTGAAGTTTATTTTCATCGAATTCTAATACCAGAAGTAAAGCAAACAACTTTAAAAGAAACCTAGAAGTTTCTTTCTGCCCAATAAATGTAATGGGATTCAAAACATTATCCCTACGATGGACCAGGCTTTTATAAGTCAAAACTTTTTGCTTGATACTTCTGACTGGGTCCTGGGATTAGCAATGGTAGTGCCAAACTTGAGCAAAGAAATCTTTTACATCTTGTAACGATCCCCATGAATGCAACCCATAGCCGTAGACATGGTCCTATAATTCACATATTATTTCTAAAGACAAAAGTCATAGACAATAATATAAAAATAATATATAAATTATTATTATGTATTATATACTATTTTTCTATTATTTTGTATTTTTATATATCAATCATAGTTAATAATATTAAGATACTATTAAAATCATGTAATTCCACATTCTAGTACAATGGGTATCACCTTCTGGTTGATATATGCTCTCACAAAGTAATGGGATTTCTGAACCACTATTTTATCTCTTTCTTTACTACAAATTCCCATATGCAGAGAAAAAATGCTTCAAGCTTGATTCTTAAACTAATAGAAATTATTATTGTTCTATTTTCTAAGTATTGTTTATCTTTGAAAAGATAGTGTCAGGTAAAAAACACATTTAAAACACACAACCACCACATTTGGAAGATGTTACAACGGAAACGTCTGAAGAAAAACTTTATTGGTAGATTATTTAGAGTTTCTGCTATTTGTATTTTGAAGCAATTCACAGATAAAATAGACACATACCGTAATGTTATATTGAACATGAGAACTGCAAATTTTAACTACATTATCTAGAAAATGGCAACTGATCAATATAAAAATGAAGGCATAATAGTTAGAGTGATTGAAGAGATAAGTGAAAGCAGACTTTATTTTTTGTGCCTACAATTGGTGATTCTAATCCTCCTTTCTCATTAATAAGTAAAGCTGTAGTAAGTAACCTTAACATAAATTAGAAAATTGTTGCTACATTTTGAAATTTACTTCTTTTCATCTGTTAAATAAGTGCAAGGAACTATATGATAAGTGTTAATTATTCATTTTATGTTATAACAATAAATTAGAAGTAGGGACACAAAATAAATATGAGTTGAATGGACAGCAATTGATGCTGTATAGTTAACACGTATAAGATCAGACAAAAGTGTAAAGATATAGAAAACCAAACCAACCTAAATATTGTATTTGACCATGGTAATAAGCTATTACACAAGTCACCAAAATGAGTTGTTTTTATTACTTCATGAAAACTACCACTATTCTTCAATTTTTTTTCTAGATCTTAAACAATTATTAGACTATTGGATAATTGGAACCTGAGAAATTGCCCTACGAATGTTAATAACTGCAATAACGTATTTCAATAGGTGTATACACGTTTCATATATGAACTTATAACAATATATTATAAACAAGAAAAAACTGATGGTTTAATTTTATTATGATTATTGACATCCATTCCTAGTAAAAGCAGTCTAAGCATTGAAGAAATTCAAAGTCAATGTTTTAACGAAAATCATGAATGGGATTTAACATGGGAACTATGAATATGCAATATTATATTTTTCATATCAATGTAAAATTCCATTAAAATAGCTATATTGAATTTCATATACAAATATTTAACAAATATAATTGTATGCTTCTATTTTTATACAATGAATATTAGTACATATTATATTTGTTTATTTTAATGATATTTATTTAAGTTCAATTTTACAAAATATAATTTGTGGTCAAAAGTATCAAGCAATAAATTTTAAATATTGTACAGGGAATAATCCATGTTGCAAAACTGTAAACCCCATGTGAAGACAGCAAGATAGGCTCACTGGAAATTTTTTAATTAAATAAGCTTAAAAAGATATTGGACTAAATGCCAATATATGGAATACAAGATTTCCAAATGTTAATTTAGTTAACTCTTTCATAGTAGCTATACACACACATATACCATTTTTTTTTTTTTTTTTTTTACTATTTCTAGAAGTAAAATAGTAAACTACGTAAGATATATAAAAGTAGAACAAGGAGGACATCTTGAGGTCATTTTAGAAATGAACATGTTTTTATTGAGTCTGCGCACAGTTTATGATTTTAAAAACAGATCCTTCAAGCTAAGTTAACACTTCTAATATAAAATGTATTTTTTCTTCATAAAAACAAAAAGGCAAAGCAAGAGCTTTTAGATTCACTCGAAAGCATTCTCTATCTCTCTCTTTTTCGCTCTGTCTCTCACTCAAACACACACATACACATACACACGTAAAGACTACAAAGAAGTTGTTTTTTACTGAATAAGAGATAAAATTTTAAAATAAGCATGTGTCTGTACAAACTGTTCTGGCAAAACTATCTTAAATATTTTTCCACAGTAGTAAAATAGAACCCTTCCACAAATACTGCTTCAATGTGCTTCATTAATCCTCTGTATACCTATTTTCACTTCCTACTTCTAGAAAAATAGAAATAACAGCTAACATGAGGTCTGGAGTGTCCCCATTTATGTCTTTTTCTAGGAACCTTGCTTTAAAGCTGGATTTGCAGGACCGTTGACACAATGTTCTGGCCCCTCAGTGCCACTTGTGGGTTCAGAACCTGCAGCCTGTTCATTTGCTTCAGGGAGCTTTTCTGGGGCACCAAGTGGATTAACACAATTGGCATCCTGCTTTGCTTTGTCCACTTCATTATCAAATTCAATTTTATCTTCTTGATGGTTGTTTTTCTTTACTTGTCCATTCTGGGCAGGGTAGGTGCTGGCGATGGCGTCGTATAGGAATTGGTATTCCTCCTAGTAAAGGAATTAAGTGGGAAATTACATGAAGAAAGTTGACATGATTTTTTTTTATGCCAGATAAAGGTGAGCAAGGACTAATCATTTATTTGTGGAAGTACTGGATGACAGAAAAGTACTTTGATACGTTCTCATTTAAAAAATCTAAATAATTTAGTTTCTTTATGGGCCTAAAGCCTTTTCTGTCTAATGCCTACACATCATTTAAGAATCAGAGCAGGAAGAATCACCTGCTTAGAGAAGTGCTGCTTGATTCCTAAAGATTGAATTAAATGCTCTCATTCATGTTCTTCTTATAATTTCTTCGTCATTTTACTTACTACATTGATTAGTAAATACCTGGCTTTCCTTCATACTCACCAATTAGTCTCTTAATGGCAAGAACATATAGGAAACATTTGATACATTTTTAAAAATCAAGATAGGAAATCTCAATGTCATATGTGATTAAAAGCTTTATATTTCAGTGAGTAATTAAGTTTACATTGTGAAGAATGATTAATTCCCAGATGACCATCTGCAGTTACTACCACATACAGGCTATACCACATTTTCCTTCCTGTTTCCACATTTCTTTGCAATGTGAATTTGCAGACCCTCTCAAGGAGTGGAGTCTTTTCCCTATCCCTGGACTGGCTTTATGATTTCTTTAGCTAATAATATGCAGAAGAAGATATCTCTGTCACTTTCAAGCCTGGGCCAGTGGTCTCACGAAAGTTTTCTTTCCCTTGTGGAACTTGCTGTTTTAATGTGAATAAGTCTTGGCTAGTCTTGTGGAAGAGTAAGGACATGTGGCCTGCTCACTGTTGTCACCATAGCTAAATGGCAGCCACATGCCAGCCTACTGGCAGTGTAGGTCATGCTACACCAGCCAAACCACAGGACACACATCAGCTGAATGCAGACATGTGAGTCAGCCTGGTCTCTATTGGCTAAGCCTGAGGGCATCAGCAGAACATTCCAGCAGACCACTAGACTACTGAATAATAATAAATGTTACTTGTTTAGACCCTTAAATTTGGGGGTGGTTTGTTACACAGCACAAATAGATATAGGATTGAAGGAAAGAAAATTTAGAAATTCGTGAGCATTTAAGAAAGACTCTTCATGAACTGTCACAACAAAGTGTTAGTAAACTTTAATTAAGGCTCTTTATTTAGACTGACAATAATTCAATATGAATTATTATGCAAAAGTAGAAAAGAGAAAAAATAGGAAAAGAAAATAGAGGAGAGAAAAGGAAAGGGGGAAGAAGGACAAAAGAGAGGAAAGAAGAGGAGAAAAAAATGGAAACCATCAAAAAGAAAAAAATCAAATCCAAGGTATGTTAAAAGCAATGGTTGAGTATACTTACGAATGTGGAAATCATGCCTGGCCTAGCTTTGCGTAGAGCTTTTACCACTTGAAATACGTCCACTACCTCTTCTGTTTCCGCACTTTCTAAGAGATTTAACAAAGCACAAAATATTCCCGTTTGCTGAGATCCATCCCTATAAAAGAAAGAAAAGATAGAAAATAATCTTACTTGTTACAAAAAAAGGTGATACTAGAATTAAAAATAGGAATAGAGAGAAGATATTTTTTACTTCATGTTTATCATAATTATTTTATTCCAAACTCTTTCACAAAACAAATTATTTATGCTAAATGCAATTTTAGGTAAACGTTTTCAATTTAGGGGTATGATAATCCTGTAATTGAAAGCATATTTGTCTCAGGGTTTAAAAATATATTTTCTCTTATTGAGTATTTTATGGATTTTAGTGCATTTTTATTTACATCTGAAGTTGTTGAAACCAATATCAGAATGCCAATTTGACAGATAAGGAAACCAAGATTTGGGGAAGAGAAAGGTATAGCTTGAAGCTGACGTAACCGGAAATATTAGAGCTTAGATTTTGTAAATTACTAGAACATACGCTGCTGCTTCTCTCTTCGGCTTCTCTACCATGTTTTACGAATGTTTCTACTTCTGCGGCAGTAGAAAACTGACACTTTGTAGAACTATTCATTAAAAAAGAGGGTGAACAAGTAGTTTACCAAACAATGAGAAGCATAAAGCATTATCATAAAGAGTCAACTTGAACAGTATGTTATCAGCAGGGCACTTCAGTTATTGACCATAAATTTAAAAAAAGCGTGTAGTGGGTATTCAGTCATATTCTAAGAAACATATATACTTTTGTGTGTGGGAAACATATATAGTTTTACAGTGTAAACTTACCTTCCTCAGCTTTCTTTTCACATAAATTTTGCCTTCAAAAATTCAAGGAAAAGCTGAAAATTTGTATATTTCTAAAGCCTTGATTCTAGTGTATGTAATTCCAATAATAACAATTAGACTTCTTCAAGAATTCTAAAAGTTTTTCACTAGATTAACATTTCTCATTTTACTTTACTAGTTTTCATTTCTCATTTACTTCAATATTCTTTTTCATGTAAACTTTTATATTATAAATTTTTCCTTTAATTATATTGCTTATTTAAGGTGGATATTTAAGCATCTATCACAGATGAAGGAACTAATAAAATCTAGTAGTATTATTGATTTATCACAATCATTGCCCCTTTGGTTTAGAAAACTAAATCATGAGTTTCGAATCAAAATTGTTAAGCTTTGTGATTAGAGTTAATATTTAAATTATGGTTAATGACCTTTGTGTTCATTAAACATATTAGGTGCCTTTGTGACACTTAATAGGGTAGATCAATGTATATGAGTATATGTGTAATGTGATATTCATCTACCTATCTGTTCACACACCCTTCCATTCGTTAATTCATTCACACCAAATGACATTTCCGGTTCAATGTTAGGTATGAAGGAATCAAAGATGACATGACACCAAGTATCTAAAGACACAACTTAAAAATACTGCATAATAGAATCACTTCTATTATATTTTTTATTATAGTTTGTGACAGTTGTGCTGTGGAAACATAAGCAAGGTAAGAAATTTTTACTGTGACTATGTGTTTTATATGTAAGGATAAATAGACAAGGAGCACATGAACCGAGGAGTCAAGCGTTATGATTTTTAGAGTACATTCTACCAAATGCCACCCACCTGCAGTGAATGAGGAGAGGTGCATTCTTGTGATACTTGTTCCCTTCACAGGAATTCTTCTGAGGAAGTTTTTGTTTGAGGACCTGAATCATAGAGACTAATTCCTTGGGTTCTGCAGGAAGTTGTTCTGCACTCCAGTTAGTATATTGGTACTGGTACACAGTTCGAGGGTCTTTCCTCTAAAATCAGAATTGAGGAGAGCATTAACTGTAGTGAAGGTCAGCTCATTTTATAATTTGATAGCCGTATTTTCTTCACAGTTACTTTTACTTAAATAATTTAAAACTGTTATTCTGAAACGGTTTACAGGACGGCCTTGCTTGGATAGAGTAATTTATATTCGTTTTGCTGCTGGATCCATTATATGAAAGAAACATACTCCTGAAATTGTTTTCATACCTTGGAATGTCTCAGTTCAAAGACATGAAGGGTATAAGTTGACGATTTGTTTGTGTCTTTCAGGTCAACTTCGATATCTCCATACGTTTGCTTTCCTTCTCCCCAGTACTGAGCACAGAGTTCCTAGATAAAAGAAGATGATTCAACAATTTCTGTTTGCTATTTAAGGTACACAAAGGATCAGTCTCCCTCTTTCTCCCTTTCTTTCTTTCCCCTTTTCCGTCTGTGTCTCTTTTCTATTAAATGAAAACTTTTGTGTTCTAAGATTGAAACCTGCTTATAAAAATCCACAATCTAGTTTAAGAGTTGGAGATTCATTTAATAAATATGTGGTATTTCCTTGTGTAAGAAAGAAAAAGGAAGCTGAGCACCATTGAGGTGGCTGGCACCCCCGCAACAGCTGTCTTCTTTAGTGTAGGTCTTTGGGGTTTGCTCCCACTTTCCACATGCTTATCATCACGTCTTCAGTATTTATGGCTGGCGTGAGTCAACGTTATTCACGACCCTTTCAGTAACTAAGGTCCCACTGTCCCTTCAGTGGTTCTTGAGGAAGAAGGCTGCATCTTTTGGAACTTTGTCTCTGTCATCTTGTTGACCAACACCATGAGCAGCTTTATATATTTTGTCTGCATATCTAAGCAAAGGGTCAGACTGAAGAGTAGGTGAATTACAAAAGCATTTCTTCTCTCAACAAACTGTTGTCCACCAACTACGACCCCACAGTTGCAGACAAAGATAGGCATTTCTGCCTCCACTCCCATCCTGTTTCCCAGCTTCCACAATTTGAATGAAGAAAAAGACTGGGAATTCCATGCTAGAAATCTGGATGTATATTCCTTTAAAAAAAAAAATTAAAAGCAACTTTCTATGTACAGGGGAAGGGGACCAGGTGAGAGTGAGAGAGAGTGCATTTGGGGGGAGAGAGAGGGATGTAATAAATCATAAATTTTTTGCATACTTAGGAGGTTATTTATTGAATAAGCTTGAACATATGTCAGATAATGTGGTCGGTGCTAAAGCTGAGTGAGACCTACCAGAAGGGAAAAGTTAACTGTAACTGAAAACACTAAGAAAAGGATAAAATATCTATCAAAAGCATTAAGTAAAAAAATCCAATTATATTTTAGATTCACCTTTAACTATAGAATTTTATGGCAATAAGTTTTATGGGAATAAAGAAGGGAGGACATAAATAATTTTTCAGGCTTGTCTTATTAAAAGAATTGGGTCAAAATTGGAAGAGAGCACACATTTAGTTACATGGAATATCAATAAGTTTAGATTCGGTGATAACAATGAAAATTGTGTGTTTAGACGTGGGCACTAAACCTGCTTGTCCAGAGTGGAGAGGATGGAAAACATAAAAATGAGAGTAAGATGAAAGACACACGAGGGGTTGATCATCGAGGGTGTTAGACATCACAGAAAGAGCTTGGTTTTTATCTTGAGAAAATGGGGAGAAAAGAGTGAAAACGTAGCGGTTATGCACCGTGGCACTGGCGTTGCCGTGTCCTGGCTAATCTCTGAGTGACATGCAAGGCTGCAGGCAGTGGCAGGACAGACTGTCAGAATCCAGACACAGCTGATGGAGGCCAGCACCAGGGAATGGGGTGAGACTGAGCAGACAGAACTGTGTGACGGAGGGATCAAAAAAGACGTAGGCATGGCGATCCTGCAAGCAATCCAAGACTGGAGAATGAAGTTTTATGACAGAGAGACTCAAAACAAATCCTCAAAAGTACAAACCTGGTCTCCATGTTTCAGTTCTGTCAGCATAACTATAGCTTTGACTTTTCTTTGGAAGATCATCTGCCAAAAGTCACCAATGGTCTCCTTTAGCGGTCCCTGAGCAGCAATCATCACTTCAGGTTTCCAATAACTCTTTTTAAACAAAAGTGGGTGGGGCTTTGTTACTACTGAAGAGAGCTAAGTAGATTCTTAAAATAACCATTTGGAAATATAGTCACTTAGTTTGCTATCAGTGCTGTTACATACAAATAGTAAGAGTCTTACGTCTAAGAAACAATGTAATAGCTATCTGTAAAATAATTATACAGATAATAATAATTCTTAGCTAATAATGTGAAATCAAGATTACAGCATATCTTGTGGAAACAAATTTTCCTTTCCACAAAAGAGAAACACCTTTTTTCTTTTCTTTTCTTTTTTTATATTTTTGGAGATGGAGTCTGACTCTGCTGCCCAGGCTGGAGTGCAGTAATGCAATCGTGGCTCCCTGCAACCTGTACCTCCTGGGTTGGAGCAATTCTCTTGCCTCAGCCTCCCAAGTAGCTGGGGTTACAGGTATTCACCGCCATGCCTGGCTAATTTTTGTATTTTTAGTAGAGACAGGGTTTTGCCATGTTGGCCACTGGTCTTGAACTCCTAATCTCATATCATCCACCCACCTCACCTCCCAGAGTGCTGGGATTACAGACATGAACCACCACACCCAGACACACCTTTTTGTTTCTCTATAAAGGTTAGTGTGATTGTAAAAAGGAATTACTTAAGCATTTCAAATTACCTTTGTCATATCTATACTAATTTTAATTAGTATCTTTACATTCTTACTAATATCTCTTAAACTAATATTTTATGAATGTGTGCTTTAGGAAATTTTGAAAAATAAGTATATCCAACTTAGTGTATAAACAGTAAGTATTTAATAAATGGCTAAAGTTTATTGATTGAATTCTCAGTTAATTTTTTAAAAAATATGTAACACAGACTCAGCTAATAATTCAGTTAATCTGAATGAAAAGTTTCTAACTATACAAATATACAAATTTGGCTTTGTCTACAATTTGGGTATCTGAGTAGGTATAAATACTTTGAAATACTTGTATTTGCTCAAATTTTACTATATTTAAAATTGATGTACTCATAGCTTTATTTGTCATAAAATATAACCAATAACATTGCCTTATTTTGTATCAGGATATTAGGCTTTAGTATTTTGAAATCTTTCAGTAAGTTAAAATGTAGCATTAAAATAGAAACTCTCATGTCAATCTACAAGTTATGACTAAGCTCATTACTGTTTTATAAAATCACTTAATGAATGGCCGTAATAACATAGACGGGATTTTAAAAGGGTTGGATCTTGGATTTTGGCAGTGTAAGTACCTACCATGATAAAGGATGCATTGATGTATTTGCTTGCTTCCTCTGAGTCACTGTCATCATCAGAGGATTCATCTGAATCATGCTCACTCTCTTTACTCATTTCCAGCTCATGTTTAAGTGGCACTCTGTTGAAGTCATCTATGTAAAATAAGATGCCAGTAGTAAGCCTCCTTTTAAAAAAAAATCAGATTTCTTCTTTGTTATCATGTGGACATTTAAAAGTTTTTTTTTGTTTTGTTTTGTTTTTTTGAGACAGAGTCTCACTCCGTCGCCAGGCGCCAGACTGGAGTGCAGTAGCGCAATCTCGGCTCACTGCAACCTCCGCCTCCTGGGTTCAAGAAATTCTCCTGCCTCAGCCTCCTGAGTAGCTGGGATTACAGGCACGTGCCACCATGCCCAACTAATTTTTTTTTTTTTTTTGTATTTTTAGTAGAACGGGGTTTCACCATGTTGGCCAGGATGGTCTCGATTTCCTGACCTTGTGATCCGCCCACCTCAGCCTCCCAAAGTGCTGGGATTACAGGCATGAGCCACTGCGCCCAGCCTGAAAGTACTTCAAAATAGACAGATTGCATAATGGAAATTATTGATCTACATTAAATAAGATTCTATGTAAAACTTAGTACTCATTGATAAACGGATTATACAACAAAAGTCTAAGAGAAAGGATTTTAGGGAAAAACCCGAACATAATTCCATGTCAAACCACAAATAGACATTACATACGATTATTTAATCTTTGATACGTATATTTTAATTTCCCATGGACTATTATAATTCTGCTTGATATGTTACAAAATACATAGCTTAGATTTTTTTCTTTCGGTTATACTCCATTAACATTAAATTAATAATCTTATGTAGATATCTTAGATAATTATTATTCAGTCCAAAAAATGTATTCGGTCCATAATTTCTCACTATTCCTCAATTTCTTTAATTTATAATAACTTGTTCAAATGATGTGATTAAACATATCACTATCAATTCCATATTTTAAACTACATTCATAAAGACTTCCGTGAAAATTAACTAGGTTAACCATACACTGATATGATTTATTTAGTCCTCTAGTTTATCAGTTTCGGTTATATTTTATCCATGCAAATTTTAGTGTATACAGATGAATAAAATTACCATATATGATCATTTAAATATGCTTAAATGGTAGAATTCAAGTCTTAAAAACTGTGCAGATTTTGATCTGTTAAATTTGATGGTGAACAGTTTATATTTTCCCCCTATTTTCAGCCACCTAGGTACAAGGAATAAAAAGGAAGCATAAAGAGAACAAATGGATGTAATTTTTACTATTTGCCAATTACCCTGGAGTAAATAACTGAAATAAACTAAAAATGAAAGAGAACTGATAAAAGGGACTTGGTCATTATTCTCCCAGCTTCAAATATATCACATTTATGACAACCCATTTTTGAAATAATTGGTAAAAAGAAAACACTGAATACAGTCTACTCTCCAAAGCCCATTGTAAATAGGATTGTTAAGTCCTTGCAATAACTCACATTTCAATACCTATTAGCTTCTTCCCTATTAACAACCAAATGTTGAAAACTTGCTTCAAGATCATTCGTATGTGTGTGTCCCACATTAAACAAATCCAAAATAGCTTAATGTTATCTGATACAAAAAATAAAATAAGCTACATACATGGAATGACATTAGAATTCCTGTTTTTACTTTTATTTTCTTCTTGATTTCCAATGTGCTGTGTCCTCCAGCTCCTATACGAAGGAAGTCTCTGAAAAAAATAAAAGAATAAAAAATTCCTTTATAATGTTAATATTGGCTTAGTTTATTATTGTGTCATAAGATGCTCCCTAAGGAAAAGCATTTTATTAATTTTTGTGAAATCTGTATATGCTCCCTAGAGCTTATAATTTTTCAGTTTGTCTCTGATTTTTTTTCTTGTAATTGCGGCATTTAATTCTTTTGACAGGGTGAGTGTGATCAAGTGATATACATATGTAAGAGACTATGTCTCCTTCTTAAGAGCTGCTTGATAGAAAAATAGTATCATTTCTTCTTATATAAGTCAAAGCACTAGACTGATGTTGATCCATATTGCAAAAGCAATGGTAAGTTAAGTTATCAGAAATAAATTCAGCAGATATCACATTCATAGGAGACTCGGCACGTGTTTTGAAAGTTGATTCTTAATTTGTTTACACCTTCCAGATTGCTTCTCCTGTCACCCACAGTTACTAATCAGTAGAAAAGATCTATCATACAGATGAGGCTCACAAACCCTTTTAGTTTTCTTTCCTCCTATTTAATTTCTCACTTGTAAAACGTCAACAATTTCTTAAATGGGCCCTTTGTCTTCAATCTGGCTTGCTCTAATCTTTCTAAAACATAACACAAAACAGAAAATGCTCTTCTGAAGATCAACAGCATTCCATCACTATGAGAAAACAACGCAGTGGCTCGTGCCTGTCATCCCAGCACTTTGGGAGGCCAAGGCAGGCAGATCACGAGGTCAGGAGATCAAGACCATCCTGGCCAACGTGGTGCAACCCCATCTCTACTAAAAATACAAAAAAATTAGCTGGGCATAGGAGAACATGCCTGTACTCCCAGCTACTTGGGCGGCTGAGGCAGGAGGATTATTTGAACCCAGGAGGCAGAGATTGCAGTGAGACAGGATTGTGTCACTGCACTACAGCCTGGGTGACAGTGCGAGACACTGTTTCAAAAAAAAAAAGAAAGAAAGCAAAGAAAACAACAACCCTCCTCAAAATAGTATAAAAAGTCTTTAGTGATATGCCCTATGTCTGCAGCCTTACCCCAACTAGGTCCTCCATACTTCTGCCAAACAAGCTTCCTCAGTTCTTGGAAGGGCCAAGCTGTTCTTTCAGTCTTGGCAGATAAACATGTTTTTTTTTCTTTTTTCTTCTTCCTTCCTTCCTTCCTCCCTTCCTTCCTTCCTTCTCGCTTGCTTGCTTGTTTGAACTACCCCTTCCCCTTTGGGTTTCTGTGATGACTTTTCTTACCCTATAGGTATCAGTTTAAATGTCAATTTCTTCTGGAAGACCTCCCTTCCTACATTCTTTCCTCTCCACTAATCCTTAAATATTTGTCAAATGAATAATATTTAATAATAATATTTAGTGTTAAAAATAACTGAAACTGAGAAAGCTCCTCGTGTATAATTCAGTAAGATTCTATATACACACACATGCATGTATATATGTGTGTGTGTATATAGATATATATTTTTTCATTATGGTACCCTCATTCATACTAAATATGCCACTCTGTTTCAAACCCCATTTATAGCTATGTAACTGAATGAAAGAAAATATTACCATTGAATTTCAGACCCCTTGAGCCCCACCATGGACTGCATGAAAGACCAGATGTTTTGGAAAGCATCACAACACTTTGCGCTCTTGTGAGTCTAGTGACCCAGGCAGCCTCTGCCCTGGGTCACCTGAGTAGCAATACTCAGGAGTATAGGTGAAACTAATGGCTCATCCTCATCTAAGACACAAAGGATCTGTCACTCTTAAATCTCTGCCTGATTTATTTGCCATCACAAGTCTAAGCTTCCCAGTGCATCCAGATTACCCAGATTTTTACCCTTGAATGATTACTTGTATCCTCAGATACAACCCAGTCTCTTCCATCTTACCAATCAATGCCTCACTCCCTGTCCTCCAATGCCCATAGTCTGTCATCTGTGAACCCCCATTTATCCTAATCATCTTCTCCCAACAGTCACTTCACCTTTTTCTTCCACCAGTTGAAACCTGGATGTCAGCTGAGGACACCATAAAGAACTCAGCAGTCCTTTTAAGAAAAAGTTGACCTTCCCCCTAATGCTCCATTTACCTCACAGCTTTAAGAAAAGATGTGGGTTTCCCTGCTCCCTGATTCTACTTGCAAATCATTTCTACTCATTCTCTTTCAAATAAACCAACCACTTTGATTTTCCTGCTATCATACTACACTACCTTCTATCCAGTGCCCTTCACTTGGAAGTGTCAGGTATTGATTCTGGAAACACTCCATCGCATTTACTTTTAGACTTGGCTAAGTATGTGCTCTTCCTTCTGAGGTCTGTCATCATTTTTGGTTAATTCAACGTTGAGAAGAATGATCTATCCAACACTCAAGTCTCATTTCTTAGCTCCTTCACCTGCCATGACTTTTCCTCCACTTCCCAGTCATCCACTTTCATCATTCAACCTTTGTAGGTTTCATCCCAAATACTGCATCACCTCTAAAATCATAACTTGGTTATTGAAAATCATCCCTGTTATTCCTAGTCATTTATTCTGGTGCATTCAACTCAGCAATCTGTAATTCTAACAAAATCTCCAACTTAACCTTTCTACTTTCTCTCACCTCTTTCACGTGGCCAATTTGCTTTTTATTTTCCACCGCAGTCATCATTCATTTGTAAACACCCTCAACGCCTTTGCATCATTACTTTCAAATAGTCACTTTTAAATATCTAGACAGGTTTAACTCAACTATTTTCACACACAGCTTCTACCCCCAAAAAGCTCAATGCTGCTATAGAAAACAATCCAACCAACAGACTAACTCCTCTTTAAACTCAGGACCATAAATTTTAGGTGATCAAACAGTAATTTCTGGCAATCTTCCTGCCTCTGCTTTTCTGCTTTGAGATAACTAGTTCATACCTTTTCCCTTCCTCAAGCATTGAGTTCTTTCTTGCCCAACTCACTCCTCTATCTCTCAACTCTAAATTGATGATCTAGCCTGGTTTTTTTTTTTTTTTTTTGAAAAATGAAAGATTGTCAGGCAGGAGTTGCCTCAACTTCCCAACAGCAAATTTAGCAACCACCTTCCATCTCTGCCCTCATCATGTCTTCCTGTCTGCTTAAATGGAATAATTTCACTGCTTCCATCTGTGATCTGGATCACATCCTCTCATCCTTCTTCCCATGTCCACTCGCAGATCATTTTGACTGTTGTGCCTATGATTCCATACTTGGCACAGAGCAGAAACTCAAGTATATTTGTTTAGTGAAAAAAACAATGTTGGTCTTTCCTATAGTAAATAAACATTTATAAGAAGGTTTAACTTAAATGTATAACTGTCTCCAAAGAGCATATGTGTTTATGTGGATTAGTAGGGCAGGTATATTGAGTATGGTTAATTTATCAGCTAGAAAAGCAAGAAAAAAACAATCAAACATGACTCTCTTTGAGACTACCCTGTGCCTGCTAGTTCTCCCACTATAAGTACAGGTCTTCTGGGGGATTGAGTCACTTGGGGATTGCTGCATGTTCCGCCTCTACCCCCACCTTAACCCCTTTGATCCTAAACATTAAATGGTTCTGCATCTGATTAAAAACACACTCCTGGTCTTTAGAAACTCCGAATTTACCAGTTTGGTACGTTACAGAAAGTCTCAGTAAACTGGAAATCATAGGTGGAACAAAAACAACATAAAACATTTTTTTGACAACTGAGCAATTTGAGGACAGCTAGGCCAACTCTCTGAAATTACAGCAAACTACATGCTAGGTAAGCTGTCAGAATAATTGCCTAATAAATAGGTTAGGACACATGTACTTATCCTTTACTGTCTGTCTACCAGCTCCAGCCAGTTCAACTTCCTAAGCAGTCATAAACTCCTCTAATGATTTCCTTCACAAACCAAAACCAGATACAATTTTTAAAGGTGATATGCTACATTGCCTTTGGCAGACCAGTTTTGTGGTTATATACTATTATTTTGACACTTTATTTTATACCGGCTTAATGGGAAATGGTTAAAGGGTTAGCAGCAGAATCAGATTTCTGGGTTGAAATAGATATCCTATATAATAGTTGTATGGATTCAGGCATTTCTCTTCACTCTCTGTGTCCCAGTTTTCTCATTCTTGCTCCACTGGTTATGGTGAGGACCAAATGCTAGCACTATGACAAGTGCACAGCAAATACCTAGAAAGTGGACGACACTCAATAAAATTTATTATTATTGTTGTCACTCATTACCTGGAATTCAGCCTCTAGTGGAGATGGCTCACTGGGTGGATCTCTTTTCTTCATGTTATGTAGATAGGGATGTAATTCAGACAAATTCACCTCTGTTTCTCCAAACTGATTGTATTCTACCAAAGCCTGATGAATCAAGATGTACTGGGCCTACCATTTTAAGAAAAAATACACATAATTAACTGATAATCTAGAGTTCTACAAGTCATATTTAAATAAAATATACATTTCCCATAGTTTTTCTCATATCGGGACAATTCATGGCAAAGTAAATCGATATACATAACAGTGAAATATTCTGGAAGTTCACTCTCAAAACCTTCTGGAATATGAGCAAAATCCATTTCAGAATTTTTCTCAGAAAAAATTACTTTACAAATAGATTATCCATGTACTCTATACTGAACAACTTTTATTCCTAAAAACTAAAGAACGTTGTATGTTACTTCCTTCAGTGATGATTATTAGGTCAGTAAGCCAAATGACTGATAAGTAAAACTATAATAAACTTCACAGTATATTCAAGAGGAAAAAAAGCAAATTGTAATTTCATAGAAAACCTTTTTAAACAGTTTCTAGAACTCTTAAAATAAAGAAAATTACTTTTTTTAAATCCAATATGCCAAGCCCAGATGTAACAACTCTTAACTGCTTATTTTGTTTGAATCCAGTAGTTGCAAGGAAATGACATACTTCTGAGAACCCTCTCAATTCACCATCTTCAGTTTCCTGAGTTTGGCTGCATCTTTCCACTGTATTTTCCACTGTAAATAATTTCTTTTGACCTGGCTAACAATTTGTTTTTATATTTCTACTCTAATATCTATGTATCTATAATTATGAGAATCGTATTTTTTGTGTTTAAAAAAATCACATAAATTGTATCTTGAATGTTTCATGTGGCAACTTTACTGATTCATTGTTTTCATCTGAGCACCTCTCAAAATAGACCAACACAAACCTAGATTATTGCTTTCCACTACAACATAGTATTTATTGTACACACAGTTCACAGGTCCACATTCTGTTTTCCTATTCCCCTACTGATACATATATATGGTGTTTCCATTCTCCCATTAATATATATTTCACTTTTTTGTGTGTGTGCTATTTTGACAATGCAAAATCCAATGCACATTTTTGCAAGTGTTTCTAGTTGTATGCTTCTCTTGGGTATATGCATGTATGTGATTTTACTGGGTCAGATACAGACATTTTCAGTAATAACCATCACTTACTATCACCTAAGGCATGGCATGTGCCAGGGACTTGTTTAAGTGCTTAACTTGTATTACTTTTGGATTATAAGTCTATGAGGTAATACCATCCCATTGCCTCTATTTTACAGATGACTTAACTGAGGCACAGACGGACTAAAAATACTTAATAAATCATACCACTCACCATTGTATTAATAATTAAAATCAGGATTTGAAACCCTAAAGTGTAGTTTCTAAACCCAGGCTGTTAACCACTATACTATTCTGTCTCTACATCTTAATTTTATGAGATGCTGCCAAATCTGTTTTCAGTTTTTTACTTTTTTTTTGCCAGTCTGATATTTGTTAATGGCAATTCATTGTTTTATTTATTTATTTGTTTCTTTCTTTCTTTGTTTTTGAGATGGAGTTTTGCTCTTGTTGACCAGGCTGGAGTGCAATGGCGCAATCTTGCCCCACCTCAACCTCTGCCTTCCGAAGTCAATCTATTCTCCTGTCTCAGCCTCCCACATAGCTGGGATTACAGGCATGCCCCATCATGCCCAGATGATTTTGTATTTTTAGTAGAGACAGAGTTTCTCCCTGTTGATCTGGCCAGTCTTGAACTCCTGACCTCAGGTGATCAACCTTTCTCGACCTTCTAAAGTGCTGGGATTAAAGGTGTGAGCCACCACTCCCAGCCCATTATTTTAAAACATATATTTGTTGTGGTCATCTTTCTTTTTTTTTTTCTTTCCCAGATGGAGTCTCACTCTGCTGCCCAGGCTGGAGTGCAGTGGAATGATCTCAGCTCACTGCAACCTCTGCCTCCTGGATTCAAGTGATTCTCCTGTCTCAGCCTCCCAAGTAGCTGGGACTACAGGCACCAACCACCATGCCTGACTAATTTTTGTATATTTAGTAGAGACAGGGTTTCACCATGTTGGCAAAGCTGGTCTATCACTTCTGACCTCAGGTAATCTGCCCACCTTGGCCTCCCAAAGGGCTGGGATTATAGGCGTGAGCCACTTCACCAGGCCAGTCATCTTTCTTCCACAGTACTTTTAGCCACTAATGAAAATGCTTCTAAGTATTTCTGGTGATTACCACATGTTTTAGTTTTCAGGAAATCATCTACTGTTTGAAGCTGTGAAGAATTTGGATTTTTCTAAAGATCATTATTATCACTCAGAAAAGACTGAAGTCCAAAAAACAACAGTAAGAATAATCACTAAAGGTTAGAACATACCTCTACTTGAACCATCAGGCATCTCTGTCGCCTTAGCTTGACAACATAACCATAAACATCCACTTTGTTCTCAGCTTCCAGGCCTTCTAGCATGGCATCAATTCCAATATAGGTGCCTGTGCGCCCAACACCAGCACTGGCGAACCAAGCAAAAAAAAGTGAAGGCATGATCATGGCAGAGAAGCGAATGGAAAAGCTGTCAGAGATAAGAATCTAAGTTTCACACATAGGTTGTTTTCCAAAATAGCAATTGCCAAAGGGAGAGACGTCTCTATCAGTCCTAGGCAGGTGGATTCTGTTGGAGCTTTTTGTTTGTTTGCTTGTTTATTTTCCCCGTACCTGCAGTGCACCACAATGGGGCCACTGAAGAAATTGCTGAAGGCGTTCACTCTCCTTCTCAGTTTGAGGAGCAGGTGAGGATCCTCAGGCACCCCGTGGTCTGGCCAGCTGGTAAACTGAATGTGAGTCACCTCTCTTCCAGCTGTTTTTTCCTTTTTCTAGTCAAGAGATAATGTTTTCCTTGAGATGATTTTTAAAGCCAACTATGAAGCATAAATAAGTGGAAGGGAGTACCAGTACAAACTCTCCTTGTGCAAACATTAACTGCTCAAAAGAGTTCATAATTTCCTAAGGTGTCCTATACACTTTCTCTGCCATGATTGCTTTTTCCTTTTTAATCTATAACTAGTAGCTAAGATATTGTACCGGACTTGCATGTACTACCCAGTAAGCAATAATTTACCAGTAAGTTAAGTAAGGTAAAGAAAGTATAACCAAAATTTCTAGAAACTTGCATGCTGTCAAGCCAAAAAAAAAACCAAAAACCTAAATAAACATACACAATAAAAGAGGGTGGTGGGGTAGAAGCTTTTTGAATGTGTGTTTAAAATGATATAAAATAAAGGTCATTTTCATAGCTATTTAAAATACTTCTGCTTAATAGGACTAATTCTTATGTGAGCAAAGTCTGATTAATTATTTGATTAACATTGTATTCCTTAGGCCTTCCCAGGGTGCCATCATCAACTCAAAATGTAGAGAGAGGACTGAGAAAAGTCAGCCCCAGACTACAGCTCACGTTTATTCTAATTTTAAGGTAACCACCATAAGATGCATAAGTCATAATTCTCTAGCCAGGTATAAAGGACCATCTACATTTAGATAACAAAAGAAACATACAAACTGAGTTGATCAGCACCAGTAAACCAAGACTACACAATGTAGCCAAATAGGCATCAACCTAAAAATATATCCTTACATCTATGGATCAGGGGCCTTTGTGGCTTAGTCAAACAAGTAGCCAGGAACCACTGGTAGGACTGTTTCAAGCATTCGATGGACATAACAATGAATAATACCATGGAAACCTAAGAAGACCTTCAGAGATATATACAGTTAGTCTGTTTCTCCTGTAGGAAATATACCTCAACCATACAGAAATACAATTTAGATTACTAAAAGTCCCACAATAAACAAAATACAGAGAAAATTTTAACCCCTTATCTAAAGACTTGCATTTATTTAACAGCTCTTGCAAGATACATTTTACAATCTTGATAGGTTGCATGTATCTAGGAATTTATCGATTTCTTCTGAGTTTTCTGATTTGTTGGCATATACCTGCTCATAGTAGCATCTGATAATCTTTAAAATTTCTGCAGTATCACAGTGGCAATGTCTCCTTTTTCATCTCTGATGGTATTTACTTGGGTCTCCATTGTTTTTTTCCTTAGTCTGGCTCAAGGCTTGTCAATTTCATCTTTTTTTCCCCTCTTTTTGAGACGGAGTCTTACTGCAATACGCAGGCTAGAGTGCAATGACACGATATCAGCTCACTGCAACATCTGCTTCCCAGGTTCAAGCCATTCTCCTGCCTCAGCCTCCCAAGTAGCTGGGATGGCAGGTGCATGCCACCATGCCTGGCTATTTTTTTTTCTATTTTTATTATAAATAGGGTTTCACCATATTGGCCAGGCTGGTCTTGAACTCCTGCCCTTAGGTAATCTGCGCGCCTCAGCCTCCCAGAGGACAGGGATTACAGGCACGAGCCACTGTGCCCAGCCTGTCAATTTTATCTTTTAAAAGTAAAATAACAACATTTTATTTCACTGATGCTTTGCATCTTTTATTTCAATTTCACTTATATTTACTTCAATCTTTATTGTTTATTTTCTTCTACTAATTTACAGTTTGGTTTGCTTTTGCTTTTCCAGTTCTTTAAGATGTATCATTACGTTATTTGAAACTTTTTAATGTAGGGGCTTACTGCTACAAACTTTTCTCTTAGTACTGCTTTCACTGTATCACATAGGACTTGGTTTGTTGTGTTTCCATTTTCATTTGTTTTGAGAATTTCCTTAGTAATTTCTTCACTGACTCAGTGATAATTGAGGACTATATTGTTTACTCTCCATGAGTTCATATAGTTTCCACAATTATTCTCGTTACTGATTTCTAGTTATACTGTGGTCAAAGAAAATAGTTGATTTTTTAAAAAATTTTCTAAGATTTGTTTTATAGCATAACATATGGCATATCCTTGAGAATGATCCCGGGGCTGAGGAGTCAAATGTATATTCTTTAGCCATTGGTTGAATGGTTCTATAAATGTCTATTAGGTCCATTTGGTCTACAAGGCAAATTAAGACCAATGTTTCTTTGTTGATTTTCTTCCCGGATGATCTGCCTAATGCTGAAAGTAGGATGTTGAATTCTCCAACTATTATTGTATTGAGGTCTACCTCTCTCTTTATCTCTAATAATATTTGCTTTATATATCTGGGTGTTCAAATATAGGTGCACATATATTTACAATTGTTATATCCTCTTGCTGAATTGACTCTTTTATCATTACATAGAGACCATCTATGTCTCTTTTATTGATTTTTGTGTTAAAATATACCTTGTGTGATATAAGTATAGTTAATACTGCTCTTTTTAGGTTTACATCTACATAAATCATAATTTTCCATCTCTTATTTTCGATCTATTTGTGTATTTACAAGTGAAGAATGTTTCTCCTAAACAACAGAATGTTGGGACTTGTTTTATTAATCTATTCAGCCACTCTATGTCGTTTGTTTAGAGAGTTTAGGCCACTTATATTCGATGTTACTATTGATAAATAAAGACTTATTCCTGCCACTTTGTTATTTGTTTTCTGGTTGTTTTATGGTCTTTTCTTCCTTCTTTCTTTCCTTTCTGTCTACCTTTAAGTTACGGTGATTTTCTCTAGTGGTCTGTTTTAATTTCTTACTTTTTATTTGCATGTATCTGCAGTACGTTTTTTGATTTGGGGTTATGTGGTTTGCAAGTAGTATCTCATAATGCATTATTTTACATGGATGACAACAGAGACTGTGTGAACGAACTAACAGGCAAAGTGTAATACAATGAAAAATGCTGCATTTTAACTTTATTCCTCCACTTCTTATCATTTTCTTGTTTCAATTCAGATATTATTTTGCTGTCCATGTCTTGAAAACTTGTTGTAGGCATTATTTTTGGTACCCAAAACCTGAACAGACAAGTAATGAGATGGAGGTTGTAATGAAAAGATTCCCAGCCAACTATTTTCCCAGCAAAAATAAAGCCCATGACTAACGGCTTTTTTTTTTTTCTTTTTAAATTTTTTATTGGATTTTAGGTTTTGGGGTACATGAGCAGAGCGTGCAAGACAGTTGCGTAGGTACACACATGGCAGTGTGCTTTGCTTTGCTTCTCCCCTTCACCCACATTTGGCATTTCTCCCCAGACTAACGGCTTTCTTTATTACTGTATTTTACCAAACATTTAAAGAAGAGCTAATGCCCGTTCTACTCAAACTATTCCAAAAATGGAATAGAAGGGAATTCTTCCAAATGCATTTTATGAAGCCAATATTACTCTGAAACTAAAACCAGGCAAAGACACATCAAATAAAGAAAACTACCAGTCAACATCCCTAGTGAATACTGAGGCAAAACTCCTCAACAAAATACTAGCAAACTGAATTCAACAGCACATTAAAAAGATCATTCATCCTGACCAACTGGCATTTATCCAAGGGATGCAAGGATGGTTTGACATACACAGATCAATCATTGTGATACATTATATCAACAGAATGAAGCACAAAAGACATATATGTTCATTTCAATTGATGTTGAAAAAGTGTTTCATAAAATTCAACATCTCTTCATAATAAAAACCCTTAAAAAACAAGAAGAAGGAACATACCTCAACAAAATAAAAGTCATATATGACAGAACCACAGCTTACCTTATATTAAATGAGAAAAAACTGAAAGCCTTTCCTCAAAGATCTAGATAAAGACAAGAATGCCCACTTTCACCACTGTGATTCAACATAGTACTGGAAGTCCAAGCTAGAGCAATCAGACAAGGGAAAGAAACACAGGGCATCCAAATTGGAAAGGAAGAAGCCAAATTATCCTTTTTTTGGTACATCATATAATCTTATAATCAAAATATCTAAATACTCCACCAAAAAGTTTATAATTGATCAACAAATTCAGCAATGTAATAAAATATAAAATCAACATTAAACAAATAGTATTTCAACAATCTGAAAAAGAAATCTAGAAAGTAATCTTATTTACAATAAATAAAAACAATATAAATACTTAGGAATAAACCAAAGAAGTGAAAAATCTCTACAGTGAAAACTATAAAAAACTGATGCAAGAAATTGAAGAGGATATAAAAAATGGAAAGCCGTTCCATGTTCATGAATTGAAAGACTCAATATTGTTAAAATGTTCATACTACTCAAAACTATCTACAGATTCAATTTAATCTCTATCAAAATAGCAACAGTGTTCTTCACAAACAGAAAAAATAATCTTAATATTTATATGAAACTACAAAAGACTCAGAATAGCCAAAACCAACCTGAGCGAAAACAACAAAACTGGAGGTATCATATTACCTGACTTAAAATTATACTTTAGAGGTATAGTAACCAGAACAGCATAGTACTGGCATAAATACATACATAGATCACTGGAACACAAGAGAGAACACATGAATAATTATGTAAGTCTACAGTGAACTCATTTTTGACAAAGGGCTTAAGAATATGCATTGGGGAAAGGACAGTCTCCGTAATAGATGGTACTATGAAAATTGGATATTCACATGGAGAAGAATGAAACTAAACCCCTTTCTCTTGCTGTATACAAACATTAAATAAAATGGATTAAAGACTTAAATCTAAGACCTTAATCTATGAAACTACTAAAAGAAAATGTTGGGAAAACTCTCCAGGCCATTGGTTTGTGCAAAATTTTATCGAGTAATACCCCACAAGCACAGGGAACCAAACCAAAAATGAACAAGTAGAATCACATCAAGTTAAAAGCTTCTGAACAGCAAAGGAAACATTCAATAAAGTGAAGAGATAACCCACAGAATGAGAGAAAATATTTTCAAATGATCAATCTGACAAGGGATTAATAATCAGAATACATAAAAAACTCAGAACTTTATAATAAAAAATCTAATAATCTGATTTTTAAATAGGCAAAAGATCTAAATAGACATTTATCAAAAGAAGACATACTAATGGTAAACAGATATATAAGAAGGTGATCAACATTATTTATTATCAGAGAAATGCAAATCAAAACTACATTAAGACATCATGTCACTCCAGTTAAAATGACTTATATATAAAAGACAGCCAAGAATGAATGTTTACATGGATGTGAAGGAAAGAAAACTCTAAGGCAATATTGGTGAGAAAGTTAATTAGTACAACAACTATGTAGAACAGTTTGGAGGTTTCTTAAAAAACTACAAATAGCACTACCATCTGATCCAGTAATCCCACTGCTAGGTATATACCCCCAAAAGGGAAATAAGTAGACTGAAGAGAGACATCTGCACTCCCATGTTTATTGCAGCCCTATTCACAGTAGTCAAGTTTTGGAAACAATCTAAGTGTCGATCAACAGATGAATGGATAAAGAAAATATGATACATAAATACAATTCAGCCATAAAAAGGGATAAGATCTATTCATTTGCAACAACATGGAGGGACCCAGAGAACATTACATTAAGTGAAATAAGCCAGACACAGAAATACAAACTTCATATGTTGTTACTTATTTGTGGTAGCTAAAAATTAAAATCATTTAACTCTTGGAGTTATAGAGTAGAATGATGGTTATCAAAGGATGGGAATGGTATGGCAGAGGTGAAAATGGTGATGGTTAATGTGTACAAAATATAGTTAGATAAAATGAATAAGATCTAGTATCTGATAGCACAATAGGGTGACTACTCAACAATAATTCATTATACATTTCCAAATAACTAAAAGAGTATAATTGAATTGTTTGTAATACAAGTAAAGGATAAATGCTTGGGATGATAGATGCCTTATTTACCCTGATGTGATTGTTATGCATTGTATGCTTGTATCAAAATATCTCATTTACCCCATAAATATACACACCTACCATGTACCCAAAAAAATTAAAAATAAAATTCATGTGTTGGAAATAAAAGATACATTTTACATACCATAAAATTCACCAGTTTAAAATGTACAATTCAGTATTTGTATTACATTCACTAAAAGGTACAACCATCACCACTATTTAATTATAGAACATTTTTATCACCACAAAATTAAAGCCTGTGCTTATTAGCAGCCACCCCCCATTTCTGTTTGACTTCCTGAGCTCCAGGCAACCACTGATCTACTTTCTGTCTTATAGGCTTGCATATTGTGGATTTTTCATATAAATGGAATTATATAATATGTTTGATGACCTCCATTTTAACTATTATCAAGGGCCACACTGATCTCTTTATTTTCTGAAATAAACATTCTATTTTCTGCTGCATAGTTAGAACTTTATACTTCTTAACAGTATTCTCTAACTCTGTCATTTCTCTTATGAAAATAATATAAATTTTTTTTCATAAAAGTAGGAACCCACTACCATTAAGGACAATTTGCTTACTCTTTTAATAATTTAATATGTATTTGACACATTTAATTGATCTTTTCTTTTAATATTTCCAGGGTCACAGTATAATAGATACTTTTGATTTGACTTGGACAAACATTTCTTGACCTGTGACTTAAATTTGACCCTACTGGTTTTTGTCATTGTTCCAACCACAGCTTTCTATCCTAAAGGTTATCCAAAATAACTTTTTCCTGATATATTTTAATTTCTCACATTTAATACTACCTGATTATATTTTTATAAAAACAATATCATAATAAAAATGATGTAAAAAACAAACAAACTCACATTTGTAATGTTTAATTTCTGAATGATATAATCTGGACATCTTTTGTGCTGGATGATCTTAACGACGACATCTCCAAAAGCCCGAGTGCCCTCTTGTACCGACGGCCAGTATTCTGCGCACTTGTTCTACATTTACAAAAAAGGAAAATTAAGTATTTCAATTTTTAAGTCCATTTTTATCAAACTTTCTTTAAAAACTGAAAACCAACATATACTCATTTGAAATTCTCAAAACATTTGTATAGTTTAAGTACATATAAACCTTAAGTTGTGATGCTTGAGCTATATTCTATTTCCCACTAACATGCCCTGAAGAATATCCTTCATACTTTTTAGCAGAAGGATGATCTTTCTAGGCTTAGCTGCCTGTTAAGAGAGGACATAATTAGCTGTCAGCGAAAAAGATATGGTTGCTTGTGGTTAATTTTAGGTAGGGGGACAGAAAGGCTTTTACTTCTCCTAAAGTCATATTACATGACTCATCACCTATCTGCTCAAGGTCAGTTTTGTTTCGAGTATTAAGTTCTTGTGAACCTAGCACAGTGAAATGTACTGAACATGTGACAGTACTACAAAGAGTCAAGAATCAAGCAAGAGACTAGCAAGTAATCAGAAGCATTGAAATTCTATGCATATAGACATATATTTGCATATTAAAAATTTTAGTTTCCTACATGTATGAAAAATTTAAATTAAATGTTAGCATTGATAAAAATAGAGATCTATCAGTCATCAGGCAGTTATATGCGCCTTTTCAAAATGCCATTCAACACTTTATTTTCCTAACCTTAAGATCCACACTATGAACCTTCTTGGTTCTTACCCTGTTTCCTTCTTCACATCGAGTGACCATGACAATAACTGTGGCTTTCTGTTCCCAAATCATCCTCCAGAAATCATCAATGCTTTCATCCCTGGGACCTAGGAGGAAAACAAATACAAGCTGATAGAAATATTTTCTTTAAAGTGCTATAAAACAATTTTTCAAAAAGAATATTGGATTACCAAATAATTTACCTTGTGCAGCAATGTATTTCCTGGGTTCTTTGAAACCCTATGGAAAACACATGCAAAGATATGTCACTTGCTGTACATTAAATTATTCATTAGCATGCAAAATTGTGAGTTAGAGGAATTGCTTTAGATCCATCATTCTGTGATAGTGAATTTCTCTGGGCAGCTTCAAACTATTAAAGGGATCTTATTAGTGTTGGTCAGGCATTTAACTGTGCTAAACATGTAAGCATTTGCAAATAATAGTCATGATTTTCATGTGCCTTTGCTATACTTCAAACAATTTTAAACATCAGGCTTCATCTTAATCTGGGATGCTGTGGCAATTTACAAGAGTGATCTAGACATTTTAATATTTTATATCCCGCCAACTCTTATAGGACCATCTACCACTATTTAAACTTTCTCACCAGCCATGTAGTTACTTTGGAAATTTTACTCAATTTCTTTCAACAAATCATTCCTGGATTATAATCAAATTTCCACCTCATCACTTCTGCTGGAATATGCTGATTCCCTAGACTTTTTCGCCATTTCAGATAAGAAATATAATAACTTTTATTTCATTACCTACAATGTCTCTTTCTCTGCTCCTGTTACAAAGATAAAGGAGTACAGAGGAAGATAAAATGTTATACTGGCTTCTTCCAGAATTATCTCAGACTCCCTAAAGTCACCTCAGCAATGAAAGAAATGCTTCAGAAAGGATGACTTTTGCCATTGGGTTAAATTTGAAACATGGGTCTCAAGAATTCAAGATTAAATTAAGTAACTTCCTGAACTTCTATCTCATGACACTGTATGATGCATACATTCATTTATTTAATAAGTATTTATTGAACAGCTTCAACATGTCAATCACCTATCTAAAAGCAGAAGACATATGCTGTCTGGGAGCTCCAAGTTCCGTAGGAGAAATGTAAGTATACTTGATACCGTAATTACCATATATATTTGAATAGAAAATATAGTTACTTCTTCTGGTAGGTGGTGAGGACACTGGGAAAATGGCAGAGTTGGTGAGAAAAAAAATTTTTTTTTAGCCTGTATGTATTTTTATACTGTTAAAAATTATTTAACCTATGTAATGCATTAATTATTTAACATTTGTATAATAAATTAAATTTTAAAATATTTAAAATAAATTAACCATGTATAGACATTTACATTTCTGCATAAATCCAGTGGACAGATGATCCGTGTTGATGAAGAATGTCTGTACATTCAGTGTTACAAAATTAAAGCAGAGCAATTGGGAGTCAGTCAGACTCTGGCTGAATTTCAAATCAAATATTTATCAATTGTGTGAACAAGGTCAAGGACCCTCCTAGTCCTCACCTATATGGCACATGGCTGAAGCAAATGTGGGCTTCTTGTGAGAAATACATGCGTAGATCAGTTAGTCTAATAGCGAGCACATAATAGGCATCAGAGTATATTAAATTAATTCTTGATATAATTTTGTTTCTAGATGAAAATTCTGTTACACCTATTACCGACAGTCATATAATAAATAACTATTCTTGAAAATATTAGTAATTTTTAAATTTATATCAGTGACATTATGGGCTCACTTCAAAATATTTTTAATAATATTTTTATAATTTTGCCAAGACAAAGAAGGAGCAGAATGAAATATATGGACATAAGAAAAATGCGAATTGTCAATGACAAAATGATGGGGCTATAACTTGGAAGTTATACTTTTTTACTCACATCAATATAGCTGGCATTTATGTAGTTTGACCCTGCTTCTCCATTGATCTCAGAGAGTTCAACACGGTTATAATCATCTGTTTAAAGAAAAGATAAATAAACATGTGAAGTCATGAAAAACCAAGTAGCCTAAATATATGGGAATTTAACACTCAATAAATACTCACAAGGAAGAATGTCAACATAACGGTTTTTATTCTGGTTAAAGGACTTTCGAGCTTCCTTTATGGGAAACTTGCTGAATACCCGTGGAATGCTCTGAAAGAAACAATGATTTCTTGGATCAGATTCAGGAAAAATAATATCCCTTTACCAATGATAATTTGAGCAAATGACATATCCTGTAAAATATTTTCTTCATAATGATAAAAAATTTTCTTAGAATAATTAAAATTAAGATCAGGAATTATGAAAAAAACACTTTTTTCTTAAAAATTAATGATGGACTGCTTTCAGAACAAATCTTTTGAGTGGGGATAAATTTAGGATTAATTGTTGTATCACTTTAAAATTCATTTAAAAACAATTGCTTGAATGAGTATTTACAGTACAACTACAAAACCAGCCAAGTACATTTTGTGACACAATTTCATAATACAATAAAGCATTCCATTAAAATATTTACTAGCTCCACACTACGATCTTGCCAACCTCCTTGAGTCTCTCTTCTGCTTCACAGATATCTGCTAATAAAATCTGCTTTGCTTATGATGCAATATCAAGTAGGATGTATTATAAAGGCAAATGGTGATATAATACATTGAAAGTGGAATTGTCTTGATGGCGAATTTATCATCATGTAACAAAAGCAACACACACCTGAAATTCAGCCAGAAAAAGCCTTCCTTCATCAGCAATCTTTCTTTTATAAGTTTCCAACAAAATGTCTGCATGGATTGGCTCTACATTCATCAGTTGTTTTTCATCATCTGTAAACATATTAAAAATTCAGTGCTAGTTATTCATGTCTTCAAGTGGGCATAGACATTTCATTAAATTTACACCCTGTAACTCAGTCCTTCAGCTTCTTTCTTCCTTGTACATGTTCCGTCTCAGAAATCTCACAAACGTACTAGAATGTTTTTCCCTGTTTTCTATGCTTAGAGAAAGGATCCCAGACCAAACACCACCATTATAAGGATATTCACATTTGTTTGATTATATGCATTTTATAGCAATTACCATACTTATTCATTTCTAATATAATTATTATTTTTCTTTGTATTATTTTCATTTTCAACTTGTGAAATATTGTAAACATGCAGATGAAATAAGACAGTATGATTAATACCCTAGTAGTACCCATTAAGCTTGATGACTCAGCTCAATTTGATCATCTGTTTACACTAAATGGTGAAACAAGTTGTATTAATTTGCTGTGCTTCAAGAATATGAAGCACATTACATACTATGTGTGTGAAATAACTTACTAAAGAGTAAAAATATATACTCCCCATAAAATCTAAAATTGTATATGGAATTTGAAAAAAACAGCTTTAGAAAGGTAAGAGAATTTAAGCTGCCACACATGTAAAAAGTATGTTTCTCCTACTCTTCCATGGAATACTGATAGTATTTCTTTCAATATTCATATTAATCTCACCCATTTATTAGATTAAGAAAGAAGGTATCCAGGAGGGTGACCCATTTATCTTATTGCCCATGAAAACTTTCTATCCAGTCACAGCTATCAAACTGGGTATGGGCAATTGCTTCTTTAGGTTGTTGAGAATGCCTGGTATTCATTCATTCTGAACTGAGGACCATATTCAGAGGGTCTGATGGGGTCTGAGTGAGTAAATTCTACTGCATTCCAAGGTGCAATCAGTATCAATTTTGGGATAAAGCATTTCCTTGACACTTTCCCAGTCCATCTTAACTCCTTGAAGTGGATTTTTCCTTTTCTGCTCAGGTGTTTATTACTGTTGTGCTCTTCATTCCCCCTTTGGCCATCAAAATGAATCATCAGGAGACCCTATCTCAGTAAGTTATTTATTCACTGATATTTACCAAATCCTAGTACTCCCTTTGGTATGGGGCATAAAGCAGTGAATAAGTTAAAAAAAAAAGCCTCCCCGCTTTCACAAAGCTTACATTCTAGTTAGGGGAGGATAATAAACGACAAAAAATAAAGCCTATTAAGGAGCTCCAACCATTCAGTCCTAAAGTTTCTGCATAGAGACTTGGTACCTGCTATTACCAGAGGGACACTTCCAATGCAGATTAACACAGACAAAGGAGTTCTGAAATTCTTCCTAAGTATGAGAAAGCAAGTAACTTACTGTAAACAAAGGTTCAATTTTGGTAACTTTGTCCCCTTTTATTGGCTCAGAAATCACATTTTTAAAAACAAAATTAAATAAATAATATAAATGTTGAAAAAAAAAGAAAAACAAATTTGTTTTCTTCTCCAGTCAAACTGCTGTTCTTTGTCCTGTCCATAAATGTGTCTTTAATGGGAGCAGCCACTATTTGGCCCTGGCAGGGACTTGAAGACACGTCTCATCTCCCCGTCTCCTGCAACTTCCATCCACTCTTCCTTCCATCGTTCCCTCATTTGTTGGTCCATTGGTTCTTCACAATCTTAACAGACCAGATTTCTGCCCTCTCACACAGTTTTCTGTCATCTATATATCTATAGAACCATACACATTCAACTACTAGGGCATGTGTCAAATTACTGTCATACTTGTTGATATATCTGTGTTCCTCTATCAGATTCTAAACCGTCTAAGGGCAGACTCTGTGCCTGTCACTATAGTACTCTCAGTACCCGGCACAATGCTTGGCGTACACTGGGAAATTCACAAGTGCTGACTGAGTAAAGGAATTTAAGTTTTATCACTGTATGGACAAAAGTCCAAGTTAAATTAAAAATGCCCAATTCTTATTTAAAATGAATGGGGCCGGGCACTGTGTTTCATGCCTATAATCCCAGTACTTTGGGAGGCCAAGGTGGGTGGATCACTTGAGGCTAGGAGTTCGAGACCAGCCTGGACATTATGGTAAAATCCCATCACTACTAAAAATACAAAAATTAGTCAGGCCTGATGGTGTGAACCTGTACTCCCAGATACTCGGGAGGCTGATGCCCGAGAGAATCCCTTGAACCAGGAAGCAGAGGCTGCCGTAAGCAGAGATTGCACCACTGCACTCCAGCCTGGGTAACAGAATGAGACTCTGTCTTAAAAATTAATTAATTAATTAATTAATGAATATAAAAAATAAAATGAATGGATTCAAGTGCAGGGGAAGGAATATTCATCAGTAAAAATATGCATACTTACCCCTTTCAACAAGTTCCTGTTGTTCATCTAAATTGCTGTGAAAAAGAAACATAAGTTTCTGTATTCATAAGAAACTCAGCATTCAGTTGGTATTTAACTTATATTTAATGAATATATTGAAGGAAGAAAGGAAGTCAGGGAGAAGAAATGGGGGAGAAAAAGAGAGGAGGAAAGGAGGGAAGGCAGGAAGAGCCTGGAGCGGAGGGAGAACAGAAGGATGGGAGAGAGGAGAAGCAGAGAGGAGAGAGGAGGAGGTGTAAGGAAAAGGTGAGTGAGGAAAAAATCTTCCAAGAAACATTGCTAGACTGACAAAAGAAACTAAATGATTTTATTTAGAACCTCCTGTTTTCCAAAAGATGTGATTGTTTCTGGCCAAAAAACACATCAACTTCCCATCTCCCTCCTTTCTTTTGCTTGTATCACTCCTTGATTCCTCTGACCCACTTTGTACTAAAAAAGCCACACATTCTTTCACTGGTTATTAATAAATAAGCTCACATTATTAGTATATTTATAAAATAATACTAATATTTAATTTAAACCAATAAAACCATACTAAAAGTTTTTGATTACAAGTTCTGTCATGAAGTGGGCTTTCTGCTGTCTTCTCTCTAGTTCACGTATTTCATTTAACTGACTCCATCACTGCCATATGGATATGTGTTTGCACCATTACTACTACTATTATTATTTAAAAATTTATAATCAGCTCTTACCAGGATCTTTTCTTATGCAGATCATAGATTTTATAGAGAACAACAAGTAGGGCTATTGATGTCACAATAATCAGAAATGCCAGAAATGCGATGAGAGCCTTAGAATTATCTAGAAATAAAACATGATACATTCAGAGAACTGTTGTCAAATAACTTGCTAGACTGTCTGAATAATCACCTCCAAAGTAGTTATACTGCAATATTTTTAAATTTATTGTCAGATGTTTAAAAATAAAATGTTTAGAATAAGGTCAAATACAATAAATTTCTAATTCTGTGATTTTGGCTATATTATTCAGAACAAATAAAAAACATTTTATATTTAAGGAGAGTAAGAATAGAAGAACAATCCTCTTTCTTTTGATTAAATCATGTTCTTACATAAGACACATTAAAATTTAATTCTTATTTTTTCAGTCACTTCATTTTGAAGGAATTGAAGAGGTAATCTAGTCATTATAATTTTTGGAGACAAACTCATACAGTTTGACTTTATATGCAGAAGCGGGTAGCCTCCTAAGGGGATGAGAAAGACTTCTATTTCACAAAGATAAGCCATCTTACCTGTTCATTGAGGTGTAAAATCAACTCACCAAGAGACAGTAATGACTTCATTCTATAGTTAGGAAAAGACTTACCCTGACTTAAATACTCATTAAGTTTAATGTGAAATCCTGCTCTTTTCTAGACAAAGGGCAGAGAAGAGAGGGTGTGTTGGAAACATCTCCAATATGTTCACCTTTTCTTATGTAGTGAAAATGCAGCAAAATAATCTACTGTCTTAAGAACCTCAGCTCCAGAGCCAGGCTGCTTAGCTTCCAAGCCTAGCCCTACCACTTCTTAGTTGGAAACTTGGCCAGATTCCTTGCTATCTTTGTGCCTCCTTTCTCGAAATCCTGAAATGTGGCTAAAGGTATTGATTCACAGTGAACACGTAGCACCATGGCTGGGACGTAGTAAGTACTAATTCATTCGCTATTCACAAAAAATGTTCTTGGTTTTTGGTCGTCTGCCAAACTCAGCTGTAGGTACTTAGGATATCTCAGTAAAAAACAAGGGCTCTGTCCTCAGGGAACTTATTCTCTAGTGAAGAAAAATAGATAATTAATAATAAAAAGAAGAAATAAGTAAATGGTCAAGTAGGTTAGAAGATAAAAAGGCTGTGAAGATTTAAAGGAAGACAGTCCCTGGAAATGCTTCAGAATATAAGGCAGGAAAAAATATTAGTTTTCAGGAAATTTGCATTCTCTTTGGGGGGAACAGACACGAGAAAGGTAACTGAATGGCTAAGTTGTGGTGGCTTACCCCTGTAATCCCAGCATGTTGGAAGGCCACGGCAGATGGATCACTTGAGGCCAGGAGTTCAAGACCAGCCTGGCCAACCTGGTGAAACCTCATCTCTACTAAATATACAAAAAACTAGGCAAGCATGATGTGCATCTGTAATTCCAGGCTGAGGCACAAGAAGTGCTTGAACCCAGGAGGCGGAGGTTGCAGTGAGCCAAGATTGTGCCACTGCACTCCAAGCTGGGCAGCAGAGCAAAACTCTGTCTCAAAAAAAAAAAAAGGAAAAGAAAAAGAAAAAAATAAATATATATTTTTTCATATACTCTAAGAAGAAATAAGCAGGGTGGTAAGGAAGTAGAGGGGACATATTTTCTGTATGTTAAGTGGAGGTCTTGAGTATGAGAGCTTTTCTACAACTGGAAAGATGGAGATGACTCTATCATGCAAACAGCTGCCAGAAACAATTCATCTCATGGTCAAAATTTCTGTAATTGTAAACTCATAGAAATAGGGATATTGAAACTCTCAGATAGAGACTGTAAGACTTGAACTGGAATGCAGGCTCTGTCATTTCTTTGACTCATAGAGCAAATAGATTAAATTATCCAAACTTGAGTTTCCCCATATACAAAATATAAATAATTTTATCTCATTTAAAGGGGCATTTATACTTATGGCCTATATAAAGATGGATGGATAGATTAATGTGAATATACAGCTGGATTGTAGTGAACATTTTTAGGGGAAAATGTTCTTACTGCAATAGGCTCCTACAATGACCCAAAGTGTTCCTTGTCTCATCTCTATCTCAGATTCCTTTCACTGAAATTGTCAGTCTGTACCAGTGATTAATAACATACATATAACAATCAGCATGATTGTTTCCAAATTTTGTGAATAAAAACCTCATAAAAGGCAACACCTAATCTCTAGAATACTCTGAAGTGAGATTTTGCAAGAAACTTCAAATGACTATAACCTAGCATTCCAATCCGTAATACTACTAGGGTCTACAAAAATGGGAAGCAGTATCAGACTTCTCTTGATAACCTTCTTAATAATAAAATAGCCTAGTCTTCAGATAAAGTTTGCATTCTAAGCACACATATGTTTCCCCCTTCTTTCCAGGAACTCTGCTGATATTAAAGAACTAAAAATATCATAGATCTATAATTACAGAGAAAATGAGAGAAGAGAAATTAGAGGTAGAGCAATTTCAACAAGCTGTAGAAGTTAGAAAACCAAGGAGAGAAGGCCATAGCCTGACAGGAGGATAGACTCCACTTACTCAGAATGCCTGAGTCTCAAGTTTGAAAGTGACAGATTCAGTAGATGTGAATCATGGGTCATGAAAATGGAAGTCAAATGTCTATTTACAACAACTACCACCACAAATATCTCCTTGAAAAAAATACTACCAGGGAGGAGAAGACATTTAATTTTCTACAGGAAAATTAAATGAAAGCAGTAAGAGACTCAGAATTACAGTCAGGCTCAGTAGAGAAGGGATGAGGCCCAGAACTAAAATTAGGAGGACAATGTGATTGTCCACATATGAAATCGTTGGACGTCCATCCTCCTGTCCTACTGTGAGAAGAACCACTCTCTCACATATTACCCTATCACAAGGAGTAGGGTAATTCTGGAGATTAATTTCTGGAGGTTAACTAATTAATTTCTGGAGATAATGAATGATAGCAGAGAAAAGAAATCAATAATATCATAGGAAGTCTCCTCAGTCACCAAGATCTTCTAAGGATCATAGAACATCTAATCAACCTTCCCTGTTGTCTCACTGTGACTACGACTAGACTCCCAATAAGAACCAAGCTCTTAAGGAAACCACCAACACCAAAGGGGAATGCCACAATAATAAGTCAGCTCATGAGTTCTATGACTAATAGACACAACAAAAGACTATGGGAAGAAAATGGAGCAAAGAATTCTCAGATATATAAATCTTCAGGCTTCAGAAGTCAATAGTACCCAGAGAAATGAATGAAAAAGACTCAGGGCTGGGTGCAGTGGCTCACACTTGTAATCCCAGCACTTTGGGAAGCCGAGGTGAGCGGATCACTTGAGGTCAGGAGTTCGAGACTAGCCTGACCAACATGCTGAAATCCTGTCTCTGCTAAAAATACAAAAATTAGCCAGGTATAATGGTGCATGCCTGCAATCCCAGCTACTCAGGAAGCTCAGGAAGAAGAATTGCTTGAACCCAGGAGATAAAGGTTGCAGTGAGCCAAGATTGAGCCATTGCACTCCAGCCTGGGCAACAAGAGTGAAACTCCATCTTTTAAAAAAAGAAGGATTCAGGAGACTCTTTTTTTCCAAGAACAAAGAGACAAACCTAATATTTCCAGGGGAGGAAAACTTGGGAACAAACCAAAAATAAATAAATAAATAGAGAGAGAGAAAGAATGGAGGATGGAATTAGAAAGTAAAATTGGATGCAGGAGGATAAGACAGAAATAATTTTTAAACTATAAAATTTTTAACTTAGAATTTTATATCTAGTCAAAATACTGAACAAGTACCAAAATAGATTAAAGATATTTTTATGTATGAGAGAATTAGAATATTTTTTCTTACACTAGAGAATATATATCAGTGGAATCAGAAGGGGAAAAAAAAACCATGTGTGATACAGCAAATCTAAACCAGAAAACTGATTGGGGAAAATTTTTTTTTTTTTTAATTTTTTATTGGATTATAGGTTTTGGGGTACATGAGCAGAGCATGCAAGACAGTTGCGTAGGTACACACATGGCAGTGTGCTTTGCTTTTCTTCTCCCCTTCACCCACATTTGGCATTTCTCCCCAGTGGGGAAAATTTTAAGATGGCATGTGAGAGTCCAGCTCAGAGCAGCTGGACACGGTGGCTCAGGCCTGTTATCCCAGAACTTTGGGAGGCCGAGGCAGGCAGATCACTTGAGGTCAAGATTTCGAGACCAGCCTGACCAACATGGTGAAACCCCGTCTTAAAAAAGAAAGCGAGACAGTCCAGATCAGAGCAAGAAGAAGGGGTCCCCAGGAATTCAATTGACAATGATTTCAAAATACGGGTGGTGGATGTTATGCCGGGGAAATCCAACAACATCTCCCCAGTAGCTGTGCTGTAGCAATTCACAACCCAAGTCCTTTCCTGGAATAGTTATCACCATTTTAAAAGTAACTATCTCTTAGGATAATGATATTGTGAACAGAAAGTGAACACGATATTTCCCCACTTTGTGGAAAAAGGATGTGGGCTACTTTTTTGGCTCCATTGACCTGACAGAAGTGCAATAGTAGCTGTACTACCAGACAACATTGCTAATGGTAAAATGACCTTTGATTGCTAAACTACACCTGAGAGTGCTGTATATGAATTCTATTGTCCTCATGGGAAATACTAGTTTTGAGCTTCTCCGAGTGCAGTGTCTGCTCATAACTAAGCATACCCCTGTTGGCATGTCTGGAAGCTATGCCCATGGAAATAGTTAAGAGATATTGATTCCTTTTGGAAAGCAGCTCCCACAGCTACACATATGGTCTCATTCTCTCCTATCTCCGTTGTCTTTGAGAGTGTTGTAAGAAAAGTAACTGCATTGCTGTGTGCACTGCTGCAAGGATTCCCACTGCCAGGCTCCCTGGCTAGCATGCTGTGCTTTCTGTTCTGCATCTTTCCAAATGAAATAGTTTCAGATCTGGCCTATTAAGATGTGAGTGTGAGATGTTCAGCTAAGTCTATGATTGCTATGAATTATTTTCAATTTAATAGGAAAGATTCAATGAAGTCATTTTTATTATGAAGATACTATTTAAAAAAAGGTAATACGGAAATAAAATCAAAGCTATCTTGCTGCATTTTTTTGATGTTTAAACCAAGGAGTTTTTAACTTCATAAATCTGAGCAGAAAGAACTAAAATTTTACAGAGGGCTTATAAAGTAGTTTGGAAAATAAGCTGTTTTTAAATTTTCCCTTTTGACTTTGCATTCATATCAGTGTCTGTGCACATGCATATGTATGTAAGACAGAAAGACCTAGAAGTGGCAAAGATAGCATTGGGAATAATCTATGGCTGACAACGAAGTACATACAGGTTTAAATAATTCAATTTACAAAGTTAACCACCAGAAAAAGCCTAAAATAGCATACTAGGTCTTCTTCCTCCATAGGCTCAGATCAATTGCTAATGTTAGTAACTTTAGAAAGAGCAATATACAGTATTGTTTATATATAAAGGAAGGTATAGGAGAGCCCAAAATATAATTAGTTAAAAGCGGTTGCCTGGCAAACAGAATCATGGGTGGGGAATGTAACATGAAGCTATTATTTTCATTATTTTAATGAAATGTAATGTAAGTAATTTTTTCATGTATACTTTTGCTTTGATAAAAATATTTTAAATATCAATGATAAACACTTAAATAACCATATTGTTATTAGGGAGTGCTGAGCTTCCGTTAGGTAAATCAAAGACGGACTTGTATCTAAGGCCCACTTCTGCTAAATAAATAGATAATCTAAAAGTGTAAACAAAAAAAAGTTACTAAGATGAAGATATTTCATAAACAGAATCATTATTTAATAGTTTGGGTATCTAAATCGTTTTATGAATTCAACAGTTCTTTAATAATTGAATCTCTTAACTTGAATTTAAGATATTGCATTTTAATATATTTACTTATATATATGGTATTACTGACAATTAAAAATCTTATATTTATTGAAAAGATATAATTTAAACATTTAACAATCAAATGTATGAGTATAAAATAATATATCTTTATAAGCATTAATATGTATTTTAACAAATATAATAAATAGCCCAGTGATAACTTACAAGTTGTTGATTGAAATTTACTAACTGGGTGTCCAGAATAGTCTCCGTTGTGATAATAGGCCTGAATTCAGTAACAAAAATAAAATAATTTAGTTTTCTAATGTAAATTTATATATCATAATGTAAACAGATATTATTTTTCATACAATGCTGTTTATTTACATTTAAACTATGCTGATTTGCTTCAGTTTAACTTCAAGTTATGTCAATATGTTGTCAAGTATATTTGAAAACACAATCAAAAAGATATAAAGACATCTTGTCTCACTTAGCAATAATAATATTAATAGCTATAATTAGCCAAGAATGAAATCCAATACATCAAAATATTCATAAATAAAAGTTAAAATTCCCTATTAATAGGCTGAAAGGAGCAAAAGAGCAGTAAGAACCTTTGACCAAAAAAAATTCAAGTAAAATAGATCTGAATAATATCATTAAAAGAGAATAATAATAAATGTAATAAGTCTGACAAATATATACCTAAGCTTTTATCCTATGGAGAATATATAATTTACTTAATATTCACAGAATATTCATAAATATCATATACTGAGCTGTAAAAATTATTCTATAAATCCCAAAGGCAGAAATTGTAAAAGCCAATTAGCCTTTATAAGCTAATAATTAGTAGCAATAGGAAATTCAAGCACCAGAAATGTAGAAAAACTCTCCTAAATAATGGGTAAATTAAAACCTCTTCCAAATTAAAACTACAGACTCATTAGAAATTATCAATAATAAAAGGATTTTACTTTAAGAATCATTGATTACATTTCATGTGAAGACATTCAGAAATTAGTGATAAATAATATAGATATGGGATACAGGCACAATTTTCTCAAAAGAGAATACATAGCCTTTTTTCTTTTAGTTTATAAAAAAGAAAAGAAATTACAAGGAAGAAAACACTTTTAATCTGAAATCCACTCAAAGAACAATAAATAAATCTATAAAAAAGAGAAGTAATAATAATAATAAATCAACTTCATTAATTTATTAACCAGAGGTCACAATGGTGAAAAAACTGAAATGACTACTCTTTCGTGAAGGTATAAACATGATAATGGAGACATAAATAAGCATAAAAAGAAGATATGGCAAGTATAATGGAGAAAACTTAAAAGACAGTCTTTTGAAGAGTTGGGGAGGAGAATTAGAAACTGAATAATTATCTCCTAATTTGGAAGTTAAGTTTGTATTTTAATATGATGTGCACCTATAGTTTTCCAGATTAACTTATAAGATTTGAAGAGTGGGAGAGGAATATTCTAGGAAGCAGGAAGGACATGGAGTGAGGTGGCTAAATAGAGTAACACCTAGATGCATTTGAGAAACTACAGAGAAACCAGTGCACCTGGAGCTTAACCGGCACTGGGGGAGTCATGGGAAATGAAGTGTAATATGTGAAGATATGACAGTAACAAACTGTTTCTTTTACATTGACTATTCATTTAAAAAATATATATGGCACACTCACTCAAAAAGTAAAATACTTGAAAAGACTAATCCTATTGAAAATACATAAGTGAGTCTTTAAAAATTTCTCTGCATGAAAGCAATCAAAACAAATTTTTGGGGAACAAATCACTCCTATGCTATTTAAAGTTATAAAATATAGGTCTGGCACAGTGGCTCATGCCTGTAATCTCAGTACTTTGGAACGCTAAGGTGAGTGGATCACTTGAGATGAGGAGTTCCAGGACAGCATGGCCAACATGGTGAACCCCTGTCTCTACTAGAACTACAAAAATTAGTCAGGCATGGTGCAGGCCTGTAATTCAAGCTACTTGGGAGGCTGAGGCAGGAGACTTGCTTAAACCTGGGAGGTAGAGGTTGCAGTGAGCCGACAAGCCACTGCATTCAGCCTGGGTAAAATAAAATTCTATTTTATTTTTGATTGTATTATCATTATTTTTCCAGACTCTGTCTCAAAAAAATATATAATAAAATAAAAAATAAAAAAGTTAAATGATATAGAAAAACAGGAACATATATGCAATGTATTTTATCAGTATAAACTTTATACCAAATTTAAAGAGAATGATGTCATCCATGCCTATGCCAACACCGTCTCTACTCACTTACTGAGCTCCTTTTTGAATATCTACTAATAAAGACAATAAAATAATGCTCTCGATTTCAACAGTACTCTGAGAGAATGCCACACAATGACAGAGCAGGGGTTTTTCTCTTAGAATGTGACAATGGTTTTGCCATTAGGAAACCTGTCACTATAATTCATCATATAAATAAATCACACCATGGTATCACAACTATGGCATCATCTATCATAATGCCATAAAAAATTGATAAAATCCAACCTATGTTTCCATTCAAAAACAAAACCAAAAAAGCTTATAAATATAAAAACACTTCTTTAAGTCATAAAGAATATGGGTCGGGCGTGGTGACTCATGCCTGTCATCCCACCACTTTGGGAGGTGGAGGTGGGCAGATTGCTTGGGGTCAGGAGTTCGAGCCCAGTCTGGCCAACATGGTGAAACTCCATCTCTACTAAAAACACAAAAATTTGCCAGGTGTGGTGACAGGCACCTGTAATCCAATCTACTCAAGAGGCTGAGGCAGGAGAATGTCTTGAACCCAGGAGGCGGAGGTTGAAGTGACTGCAGATCATCATGTCACTGCACTCCAGTCTGGGCAACAGAACTAGACTTCATTTCAAAAATAAATAAATAAAATATGAAGCTGTTTGTCAACATCATATTAAAAAGTTAACTATGTAAATTTCCATTTAGCAGGAATAAAAGTGACAGATACATTTGCTTAAAAATAAAAAGGGGAATTACATATGACTTAAAGTGCTGTGAAGAAAATTAAAATGCAAATTATAAACCGGTAACAACATTTATTACACATGTGACAGAGTTTAGTATCATTACCATTCAAGGCATTTCCCCAGAGAAAACTGGACAAAGAGGTAAAGAATAACACAAAGTACAACAAAAAAACTATAATTGCCTTCTACAGTAAGTAGAGAAACTCCTTGAAAATAAAGACACCAATGCCGTGTTTCAACCTCTAAATAAAGAAAAAGAAAGGCATATTTAGTGCTGGTGAGCCTTTTATGAAGCAGTCACTTCATACACTGATACAGAAGAATAATTTGGTGAATTTTGTAGAAAAAATGTTATATATCCAATAAAATCTCAAAAATACTTATAAATTCCTTTTGATCCTATAAATGCATTTTTAGGAATTTATAAAATAAATTATTAAAGACATATTCAAAAGTTTTGCTCTACCAATAAGTGTGTTATCTGAATGTTGTTTATATAAGAGACCAACATAGTTAGTAGAATGCGATAAAGCCATACATAGAATATTATACAACCATTAAAAACAATATTGTGGTTAAATATTTAGTATAGAAAGGTGTGCATGACATACTGATATATTAAAAATACAGTTGACCAAACTGTGTATTCAGAATGTTGATAATACAAGTGTTAAATGCATATAAATGTGTATACTATGAAGTCATGTGTACAAACTATGTTCAGTAGACAGTGAGATAATGGGTATTTTAAATAATGGGTATTTTAAAATGCCCATTCTGTATTCTCACTAGTATTTTCTAGTATTTATTTCAAATCTTTTCTAACCTCAAGGTACCTGTGAAATTGTGCAATTGAAAAAAATCCACATTAATAAGGATAAAAAGCCAAAGTAAAGATAGATTTGGTAAAGTAATAATATGTTGCGCATAAAGTGTTGAGCTTCTTGACACAGAAGCAATAATTTAGCTGTAATTAAGTCCTATTGAAGTTCTAAACTATTCCCATGAAACATTTGCTTTAAACCACTGACTTTAGCTCTAGGGATAAAGATTTTAGAGTCAATTTTTTACCCTTTTTAAGTGAGATTACTTTAGACATCAGAGCTTCTCAATCTCATGTGAGCAGTGGTCTTAAAGTTATTTAAGTACTATAAATCAATTATTATAATGTATGTTGGCACTATAGTAATGTAGAGAGCATAATCTTACCGAAAAAGTGTATTTTGTTGAATATTGTAGATTTTTTACATGGAAAAGGCACGTATGATTTGACTCATTTCTAACTAGAGCATCTCCAGCTTTTACTTCCAAATGGTAACGTCCACTGGGGCCATTAAGGTCCTTGGGAGCATTACACTTGACAAGCATACTATTATCTGATATTATGGAGACAGTCATGTTCTGGACCTCGCTTGGACCTATCAAAATGAAGAAAGATTTGTTATTCATCATTTAATAGATGCGTATGTAAATTACTTGATAATACTTGTATACAATATAAAATGTTTAAGTGTTACCTAGGGGGTTATGAATGAGGAAGTTATGATAGTATATAAATTAAAAAGCCACATCAAAACCCCTAAAAATATATCACTTATTCATTCATTAAGCATTAGCATAAAGGTTGTATATGAAGCCATGAGAGTTATTGCAATCCTTGATGGAGCATTTATCGAATTAGAAAATAGAGAAAAGAGGAGGGGAATAGAGGAAGAGGGAAGGTAGAGGAGAGGTTAGGAAAAATGTTGTTGATTGGGAAACCTCCAATTTTATAATCCAGGGTCTCTTTTCCTGGAGTACTAATGTCATCCTGGTAATCACCTAGATGGGTTCTTCAGGAACAGAAACAAATTGTCTTCATTTTCTGTGATATCATAGAAACTCAGGAAATCAACAAAAGCATAGAACTCCAGGACCTGAACCTTTTAAACCAATACCTAAATTACCTTAAGAGTGTTTTAGGGCCGGGCGTGGTGGCTCAAGCCTGTAATCCCAGCACTTTGGGAGGCTGAGGCAGGTGGATCATGAGGTCAAGAGATCGAGACCATCCTGGTCAACATGGTGAAACCCCGTCTTACTAAAAATACAAAAAATTAGCTGGGCATTGTGGCGTGTGTCTGTAATCCCAGCTACTCAGGAGGCTGAGGCAGGAGAATTGCCCGAACCCAGGAGGCGGAAGTTGCGGTGAGCCGAGATCGCACCATTGCACTCCAGCCTGGGTAAAAAAAGCGAAACTCCGTCTCAAAAAAAAAGAGTGTTTTAAATTCAGCCCTGAATAGCACAAAATTTCTTCACAAGTCTAGTGCTTGTTGGGGGTCTCTGGAGATATAGATGCTTCCTTACACAGGGTGTTTCTTCTTCCTTGTCCTCAGTGGAGGTTAACATGTACCCCAGAAGCAGATCTAGCTTTGGGCATGAAAACTGGAGAGATTATACGGGTGGCAAGAGCCAAATGCCATTGAAAGGAAATCTTCAATGGATAATGTGACAAAATAGGAACTAGTTGAGGGTAACAAAGAGAAGAAAATGCTAATAAAATATTATATTTTATAAAATGTTTTATCAGGTGAACAGAGGTTAGTAGGCTAACCCTTTATGAGACATTGTAGGTTTCTGATTATAATTAATATTTCCAGAGGGTAAAGACAACAGCAGACAGTGCATGTTTCAATCTAAGTTGGTTAGATGCTGGATTGCTTCAAATTTTGCAAAATGACTGTATCTGAAGAGCAGAGAGAATGTGGTTTTTAAATTTTTTTGATTTTTACATGTTTATAAGCCCTCGATGTTAACAAATGTGCCAGGTAAACGTGCTTCCTAGAATAAAGATAGAAATACTGTAGACTAGACAGTTCATACTTTGCTTTTTACCATCCATGGAAAGAAGCATTAAAACATGTAACTTACGTGCACTGTTAGTCGTGAAATGACATGGTACAGCAGTTCCATTACGCTGCACTTTTGCAATGATGTAGGCATATAATGACAAATCATATTTTGTATAAGGTTTCAATTTTTCCAAATCATATTTGGTGAGGTTTTTATTCACTTTGAGGCAGTTATCTTCTGAGGAAAAAAATAAAAAAATTTAGTAAGTCATTAAAAGTCAGGACTACCACATATCTTATTTGGTCTTTACATCATATTTTTCCAAGTGGACTCCAAACTACCGAGTGACTGAAAAATAAATACACCCTTGATAGTCCAAAGTACATACAATGATCAGCAGGTGTATTGAACAAATTCAATTATTATCAGTAAAATTGAATATTTAAAAGGTATAGTTTTATATCATTAATTTCATACCTAAAATATTTAATAAGTCCCGACTCATTTGTGAAAATTATCTCTTTTCTTTCTGAGAAAACACAGCACCCAGGGGATAGTATGAATGAGTTGCAATGTTTCAGAAGGATTCCTTTTCAGCAAACCTTGTCTGATATTTTATTTAACCTCCAAACTTTGAACATTGGTATTAGCTACTGTTTGGAATGCTAGATGCGAAATCCATTTGATCATCAATCACTAGGTTGATTCTAGCATACTAATTTAGACACTACAGTCATTAATGGGAGCTGTGAGAATGAGGGTTTCATGCTGGAAGTGGAATTGAGCTGTTCATTGAAAGGTAAGTGGAAGTGAATACATGTAAGGGAGAACAGAAAACATTACAAATGAAAGAAGGAATGTTTTTGAATTTAGGGACAAACATTTTCAGGACAACAGACTCTGGCTGGCAAGGCATATGAGAGGTAGGATAGTGTCTAAGTGTGTCTTCACATCCAGGCAGAAGACCTAGCACTTGCTAAGTAAAAAGATCACCAGCTGCTACTATTTTTGAGTAGCCAATTGACATCAGGAAAGAGGATGATTAGAGTGGCAACATGTTTCTGGATAGCAGTTACAATGATAATGATAATATCAAAAACGATGTTAAAAAACAATAACTCACTGTATGTGCCAAGCACCGTTTCAAGTGGTATACATGAAATAATTAATTTAACCATCACTATAACTATTAGGTGGTACTCAGTATCATCTGATTTTACAGATGAGAAAACTGAGCCAGAGAGAGATTAAGCTATTTGCTCTCTTTTTCTCTAAATAAAAAAGGCATTACACAAAATAATTTCCAGCAACATCACCGTGGTCTTGAAAGATGCCTATTGCTTTCAACAACTTTTGAAAAATAGTCCTTTAAATCCAGTAAAGCACAAAAGGTCTCTTCCCCAATTCCCCAATTACCAAGAAGCTTCACTGTCACTTTGCATCATTAAGTTAATGAGATAAAACTACAGTTCCCCAAAATATACTAAAAACGTGAAGAAACAAGCAAACAAAACAGGAGCAGAAAGAATATGGGTCAATCTATTGAACTTGAACATCTACATTTTCTGTTAAACTCAGTTTCATCATATGAACTATGAAGATATGTATGTGCATTTCCACTGAGAGTTATTAAGAATTGATAAAAATCTTTAAATAAAACATAAAAATACAGGCTAAATGAAGAAAACTAATGTCAATCATGTTTTTTCTCCTCTTTTAATCTCTCTTTTTCAGAAACACTGAATAAATTCAGTTGTGAAACAATGAAGTGAAATTTAATGTCTGATTAAAAAGTAATACAAACTGCAAGTTTCATAGACTTTCTTCCTGTGGATTTTTGATAGGCATTTTGTTTTAAATGGTGAGAAAAGTTTTTAAAAATTGCCTTAACAATATTATAATCCTATCAACTCTCTTTGACTTTGATAACATGGGAGAGGATGAGAGGTGTGTGTTTGGGCCGAATGAGAAAACAAAAGCAGAACACACTGTTTAGAGTAGAGCTGGCTTCAAACAGCCCATCACGCAGTGTCAGTGCATGGTCCAAAGCTGCATTCAGTCACCAATCTGCAGCTTTGGAGAAACGAAAACATACAGCCTGAATCATCCAGCCTCCTCTTCTCAGCCGTCCAATCCCGTTTAAGTGTTCTATGTGGGCAGCTATTAAATTTGGATAACACTATTTAGTTGCCCAATAAGAAGGAGCCATGCTGTTTGCAAACAAACAAAGCAAAACTCACAGACTGCTACTAACTCATTGCATCCTTCTTACCCTAATTATGCAAATGCATTGCAAATAGAGGGTTTAAAAAAATAACTGTGTAAAATACAAAAGATCAATAAATGCATAAAATGTCTACCATATACTCTGACATCGACAATATTCTCTAGTAGAAAGAGTATAGACATCAGCCAGGCGTGGTGGCTCACACCTGTAATCTCAGCACTTTGGGAGGCCAAGGTGGGTGGATCACCGCGTCACCCACCCTCGAGACAAGTCTGACCAACCTGGTGAAACCCGAACTCTACTAAAAATGCAAAAAAAAAAAAAAAAATTAGCTGGGTATGGTAGTGCGTGCCTGTAATCCCAGCTACTCAGGAGGCTGAGGCAGGAGAACTGCTTGAACCTGAGAGGCGGAGGCTGCAGCGAGCTGAGATCACACCACTGCATTCCAGCCTGGGCGACAGAGTGACACTCCATCTCAAAAAACAACAACACAAAACGGAATATAGACATTGAAGAATGTAGGAAGGGATAGTGAATAGAAGATTCAGGTAAGGGAAACAAAAAAACAATGTGTTCTTAATAGAAGCTACACAAGGTGTTTGTAGAAGGGTCCGATGAGCAGAGAGTACCTCTGCTGTTTTATCTTCCTAAAGTTTCCATTTTTCCTTCCTCATAGACTTCACTTTTAAATTTACCATAACCTCAAATATATCATATATACTTATTTTCCATGGCATTTGTATCTTATGTTAATTTGAAAACTACATGTGTATTTAACTTTGCTTTGGTAGTTCGATTATTAAGACCTAAAGACACTAGCAAAAAAGGTCATTAAATTATAAAATAACAAAATGAAGAAAAATAGTCTTTCTCCTTTCAAATTTTGAAATTGATGTCTGGCTCCTTCCCACAGCACACAGTGACAGAATTCTATGAGAGGTTCACTTCACTCCTATTTTAACCTGTGGACAAAGGAGTAGAGAAAGGGCTACCCCAGGCATTGCGGCTGCTCTGAGATACTTCACTGATGTCATTTTCTACAAACATTTTAGATCCTTTAAAGTGTCCTGGAGATATTTGTTCTCTTAAATAGCATCTCATTTGAACATTTCATGGGTGAACTAGTCATAGAGTATTTCTTTTTTTTTAAGTGCATTACTTCTTCAGAAATATAATTCTAAACTTAGAACTATGCTGCCAAGTTTCCACCAAACTGGCCTCAGTGGCTACATGGACCCACGTTCATTTTTATTCACCCAACATTTTGTCTGCATTATTAACTGAAGCAAATTTTACAAGGGGTTTACTTGTTTGTGGTTTTGTTTAGGAGCCTGAATGATGAGCTCAAAGTGGTTCAAATCACTTACATAACATTTGCAAGACAGACATGATTATTGCCATCTAGGGATTTTCTGGCTCTAGGTTTTGAAGCACAAAGATTTAAACTAAGATCAAGAGGGACAAGCAAATATTCAGAATGTTCTGGATTTTAGTCATTTTTAAAGTTGGAAAGCTTTGAAGGAGCGGAAGCAATGCTAAGATCAGGGTGTACTATGCCTATCCATTCTCTAAGCAGAGAGCTTTGTGGCTCACTGGCTCAGTCAAATTTCTAGTACTCTCAAATTCTTGATTTCTCTTTCCTGATGAAATTAAATTCTATACAAATTACCTGGCTTGTTTTGAAAACATAGAGTGAAATTGTGAAATAAACCGTGGGGGTGATTCCAGGTAATTACTCCTTTATGGGCACCTTCACTTCTACATGTAACATTCTGAGGCTCTTCTGGAACTGTTAAAAGAATGAGAATATTATGTAATATGAAAAATAAGACATGAATAAAGCATTCTTCATACTATAAGCATGCATTATTAATAACCATATTTTGACAAATGATGAATTAAAAATAAAATTTAAAGAAAGGCATTTGGGCTTATTTAATTCGTTTTAGAATAAATTCCTGTAACAAAGTAAATTTCACACCAGATTGGCATTGTGAAACCTACGCAATCCACTGACTTGAAGATATCTGAGAACCCCCCCTCTTCCTTTCATATTTGTAGGTTTCACTGTGGGGAAAATCTGGCATTCATAGCACTGATAAATATAGCAGTAATTGAGTAGCCCTTGTCATTGCTTTCAGTAACTAGTTATTTGAAACTGAGAAATGCTGATCAATGTCTAAATAAAATGTATGAAGTAAAAATTACATTAAAACGTACCCATTCAAGATATAGTTTAATGAATTTTAACAAATGTATACATCCACATAACCAATACCACAATCAAGATAAAGAAAATTTCTGTGATCCCAAAACATCCTTCTGTGGTGCTTCCCAGTCAACTCAGCTCCTTTGACCATGCTCACATACCTTCTTATCAACTTTCTGTTACTACAGATTAAAATTGTCTTTTTACCCTTTGCATGTAAATACAATTAAACGGTAATTTCTTTCTCACACCTAACATATTGCACTCAGTGTAAAGTTCTGAAGATTCATTCACTTAGTTGCATGTGCCATAGTTACAGTTGAAAAATTTATCAGTAGTTATGGTAAAGATATACTACATTTTACCTATGATTCAACAGCAAATACATATTTGGGCTGTTTCCACATTTGTTTACTATGAATGAATCTGCATTGTTATGTTTCCTCTTTGGTAAATACCTGGAGTGAAATTCCCGGGTCATGACTGCACATCCTGACCAATAGTCAGTAGTATCAGTCTTTTTGAGTTTAGCTATTTTAATGGATGTACAGTATTATCCTCTCAGTGTTGTTGCATTTCTCAGACAACTAATGACGTTGAGCCTCATTTGACGTGCTTATTAACCAATTGTATATCCGTTTTTGTGAAGTAGATATTAAAAATGTTTGTCCATTTTCAACTGAGCTATTTTATTCCTCATTTTGCAGTTGAAAGAGCTCTCTGTATATTCTGGAAAAACTTCTCTTCTTGAAAAAAATTAATTTTTTTATAATCTATGTCGTGCTTTTTTATTTCCTTAATGGCCTCATTCAAAGAGCAGAAATATTCAATTTAGATTAAGTCTGATTCAACCAAAAAAATTTATGATTCTTGCTTTTGTGCCCGAAGAAATCTTTGCTAAAGGCATACACATTCTCGTATCTCTTTGATTGGACATTTTTATTATTTTTAGCTTTAGTATTTAGGTCTGGAATCCATTTTGAGTTAATGTTTGTGTTTGTTGAGCAGTGAGAGCTGATGCTTATTTTTCTTCCTCAGACATATCGGGATCATTTGTTGGAAAGATTGTTTCCCCCACTGAAAACACTTTGTGCTTTTTTCAAATATAAAATACAATTTTCTGGGATTTCTATTTTGTTACATTGATTTAATAAAGGATGTAACAACTTTGTTATTTATCAAAAATATATGAAGTTTTTCTAGTCAGGCTGAGGATATAGTTTTTGCATAGTTTTATTGGCTTTTCTTGTAGCTGTATATTATTTTGGAGGATTATGGGGAGACATGGATTCAGGCAGCCTCTTTAGCCTTCAGCTATCCTTAGATGAAATTTAGAATCACATTAATAAGTTACATCAAATCTCAATATTATCATTAATAAGCAAGTTCAGTAATGTGACAGATTGCAAGATCAATACAGAAACTTTGTATTTTTGTACTTTAGTAACAAATCTGAAAATGTGATTAAGGTAAACAACGGCATTGTAAGCAGGGAGAAACTAGAACTAGAAATAAATTTAACAAAAGAATTTTAAGACCAATGCACTGAAAACTACAAAACATTTTGAAAATAAATTGAAGAAGACCTAAATTAATGGAAGGACACTCTGTGTTCATAAACTAGAAGACTAACATGGTTAAGATGGCAATATTCCTAAACTGATCTACAGATTCAGTGCAATCCCTGTAAGAATCCCAGATGGTTTCTTTAAAAAAATCAAAGAGTTGATCCTAAAATTCATACAGAATTTCAAGTTCCCTCAGATATTCTAAATCATCTTGAAGAAAAGTAACAATTTTGGGGAACTTACAGTTTCCAATTTCAAAATTTACTACAAAGCAGTCATAATCAACAGTGTGGTACTAGAATAAACATGGACATATAAATCAATAAAATAAAACTAAAAGTTCAGAAATAAACCCATTATTATGATCAACACATTTTTGACAAGAATGGCAAGACTATTCAATGGAAGAATAAATAGTGTTTTCAGCAAATGGCGCTAGACTAGATGGGCATACGCAACAAAATGAAATCACATTCGAACCTCACACCATATGCAAATATTAACTCGCAGTGGGTAACAGAGCTAAATGAAAGAGCTGGCTGGGCGCGGTGGCTCAAGCCTGTAATCCCAGCACTTTGGGAGGCCGAGGCGGGTGGATCACGAGGTCAACAGATCGAGACCATCATGGTCAACATGGTGAAACCCCGTCTCTACTAAAATTACAAAAAATTAGCTGGGCACAGTGGTGTGTGCCTGTAATCCCAGCTGCTCGGGAGGCTGAGGCAGGAGAATTGCCTGAACCCAGGAGGCGGAGATTGCGGTGAGCCGAGATCGTACCATTGTACTCCAGCCTGGGTAACAAGAGCGAAACTCCGTCTCAAAAAAAAAAAAAAAAAAAAAAAAAAGAAAGAGCTAATGCTGTGAAATTTTTAGAATAAAACATATGGATAAATCTGCATGACCTTGGATTTGGCAATTGACTTTTAGATTTGACACCAAAAGCATAAACAAAAGAAGTAAAAATAGAAATGGAGCTTCATTGAAATAAAAAACAAATGCTTAAAAAGTATAAAAAAAAAAAAAACAGTGAAAAGACAACTCGTTTTCTATGATTCTCAAAGAATTATAAAAACATGAAAAGGAAAGCAATTTTATATATAAATGTAAATAACATACTCACTCCCAAAATCTGTTTGAATCTTTTTACTTGTGTTAATATACTTGCGGTGATTATAGAGTATTTCTGAATCACATGTATAGTTATGGTTGGGTTTACGGTGTTCCAAAACAATGTATTTCTTTTCAGATGTTATTTCACCTGAAATAAAGAAATATTTCAAATGAGTATACAATAGAATATTTCACACATCCATTTATTTTCTAATTTTACATTTATAATTCTCTGTTTATCAGATTGAAACATCAGTGAAGATTGCCAAAATAATAAAAGTCAAAGATTCCAAAAATAATTTTTCTACATTCAACTTTTATGAAAATACAGGCTGAGTATTTATTACTCAAAATTCCTGGCACCAGTGCTTTGGATATAGGTTTTTTTTGTTTTTGTTTTTTCTTTTCAGATTTTTTGAATATTTGCATATAGATGGCAAGATATCTTGGGGATAGGACACAAGTTCAAATGCGAAATTCATTTGTGTTTCATATACACCTCATGTACACAGCTTAGGGTCATTTATTTTTCCCTAGGGGTGCTGACTAAACTCTGTGTTGTGTTTCTGCATTTTGACTATAACTAGTCACCCTTAGTTAAGGTGTAAAATTTTTCACTTGTTTCAGCTGCATCATATTGGTGCTCAGAAAGTATTGGATTCTGGGAACATTTCAATTCTGGATTTTCAGATTAGGGATGTTCAATCTGTATATAGCAAGTATAACTTAAAGCTAAGATTGTACTTCAGCTAATCTTGGCCTAACAGATTCTCTAGAGAGAACATGTTATCATTGATCTGTCTTAGGTTTTCTCTTCCTTTTCACATCCACTTGCCTCATGTCCATGCATCTATACTATGATGATTACATGATGATTACACCCAGTACAATGCTCCATCCTCTATGTGTGTGTTTGTGGGTGTGTGTGCATGCACAGGCACACATGCGCACATCTGTCATGCCAGCTATGGCCTGGCAGATGGCTTTATGTCAAAGGGAGGGGGAGTCCATCTCATTAAATTCAAATACACTTAAAAAAATACTATCTCAAGTATTAGTTGCCTCAATTCAAACCCAAACTTGAAGCATGTGCTGTTCTTCTTCTGCTTTCTTGATATCTAAGTATTCTTGAATTTGTATATGAATTTTGTTGATGGAGGACAGACAAAATAAACTCTTGAAGGATACAATCTTGTATTTGTTTTCTTTCTTCATAACAGTTTGAGTATCATCATTTTCTTATAAAACCCTTTTCTCATGGTCTTTCAGCAATGCTTGTGTATAACAATTGCCAAGAAAGTTCTTGTAAATTAACTGACTTTTAATTTTTCAATATTTATTTTTCATGAGCTGTATTCATTTGTTTTGTAAGTTTGTTTGTGTGGTACAGATAATTTAATTATTTGACTCTAAATATACCACAGACCAGGAAAAAGACGAAAGAGAAAGAGAAGAAAGAAAGAAAGAGAGAGAGAGAAAGAAAGAAAGATAGAAAGAAAGAAACAGAGGGAGGACAAGAGAAGCAGAGAGAAAGAGCAAAAGGCAGAGATTAAATAATATCTAGAACAACATTGTAACACAAAAAAATTATCCGGTCAATGTTATATTCTTACCACATTGAAATCTGTATGTAAATTTATTTTTATCACAAGTAAACTTTTCATTTTCCCATTTTAAATAAATAGTAGTATTTGCTTTTACAGGTGGTGTATGATCTTCTAACCAAAACTTATCAACCTCTGTCAAGAAGATACAGAAATAGACTTGATTAGTATTTCATAATGTGTGCCATATTCTCAGTTAAAGCCACAGAAATTATGTGAATGACATAGTATTTGGTAAGTATTGAGATTGCTATGGTAAAAAGTCTAATAATTATCAGGATTTGGCGTTTTTTAATTATTTACTTCATTATTTTTAGCACCATATATTTTGGTAGTGTTTCATTTAGAAGTTATGCTACTTTTAAAAAAGAAATGCTAGAGAACATGTTAATAAAATTGTAGCTTTTGAAAATTTTAGAAAATACTCCATTTTGTATTTTTGTTTATGTCTTCAATTTACTGTTTACTCTTTTACTGACTTTAAATTAAATGATTATTATAAAAAGTATTGGGGGTTTCCCTCTTGGGTAGTGCATTTTTAAGTATTGTCATTTTCTGTGTGCAGTTGGTAACTTATCTTAGTAATATTTAGGGAAAATGAATAAAATAAATGCATTTTATTTTCAAAACACATCTGATGTTAAGTATTTAAATGTTAATAAATTAATTAATACTAGAATTATTAAATGATATGATTTTTTTTAATAACACAGCTCTGGAATCCCTTTTCCAGGATGCATTTGGCTAAGAGATTCTTCCCTGGAGTCTGCCCAATGCCTGTCACCACATCCTCTTTCCCAGCAGCAGCTTAGCTGACAAAACCAGCTTGATCTTCCTAACATGACCATAACCTCCCTTTTTGTGAATGTATTTTGGTTCTTCCCATACACATCAAATCCTTTGTGTTTCTCCCTAATGTATTTCAGATAAATTTGTAGTTAAAATAATAAACACACGCATGTATGTAACTAATGACTTCAATTAAGTAGAGGAAAATAAGGAAAATTATGAACAATCACTTAGCAGATAAATTATACTTCATGCACATGTTAAAGAAGTAGCGGTGGTGACTCCTGGGTGTTAACAGAAGGCTTATAGGATGCTATCACTGTTACTCGGTTAACACTGCAGGAAGTTCATCCACTTGTGTCCAAGGGACTTCCTCTCCCTCAGCCCTCCTCCCTCACCAGACCAGATCCTGTGACCACGAGAGAACACCACACCCGAAAGGGTACTATTTTAATAAATGTATGAAAAGAAATAAATTGATATTTACCTGGTGGCACATCTAATTTTAAAGTTTTGTTGGGAGCAGTACATGAATTGCCAAATATGGTAACAGTCCTTATTTCACATTCTTTAAGGTTTTGCAACCTATTGTTTGTGCAATCGAAGTCTGCACATTTCACATCCTCATTAACATTTAGCTTTGCTGTAAACAATTTTGTGTTCTTGTCATATAAGTAATCCACAGTGATGTTTGCATATTTTTTATCTAATAGAAAATAAAACATTGAGTGTTATCTTATTTTTCCAGAATGAACAAAACTACATTAAATGCAAATGCCAAAATATGACAAATCAACTAACCAAATATCCCCAAAAACTTGAAACAGAAGAAACACATCAGGTGCCTCCATATCATCTTTTTATAATTTTCTGTGCTTTACTGCCCTATCAAGGACCCTAGCTTGTAAACTTGTATTTGGATGGTTATCAGACAAAGATCTGTCTTCCTAGATGGACATGGAAATTCCATGAGAGCAAAGTCTAGTCTATGTTTATTATCACCATAAATCCAGCTATATGCATGATATTTATCACAGTAGGAACTCAATAGTTACTTGCTGACTTGTACAAATAAATGATGCATCTGAGAAATTTCTTCCTGCTTTATAATATTCTTGTTTTCTAAAATGTAATTATTAAATATCTGTTTCTTCAAATATGTGGAGCATTAATTCCTCAGAGACCATAAGCCCTCATTCATTCCTTAACTTGTGTAAAACTATTATCGATAATATACCTCCTAAGCACCTTTCTTTACTGTCAACAGTTTCTGCTTACTGATAAAAATATCTTTTCAACAAATATAAATTTATTCAGTCACTTTTATTCAAAAAAATTATTAGGCCCTTATCATGAGTACGACATGATCACAAACACTAGGAATACAAAGTCAAGTTAGATATGATCAGTTTTAGAAACGTATAATCCAGTGTGGAGGCAGACCCGCATGAATTGCCGGAGACATACAAACCTTTAAAGTAAGATTACGCATGAAATAATGTGGCAGTAAAAAGAGAGACATCCGTTCCACTTGGAGGCAAAGGAAGGATTTCCAGAGAAAGTGACTTAGTTTGTATTTTAAAATATGAGCAGGAAATAGAACAGTAGACATGGGCATTGGGGGATGAGAGTGGAGCAGAATTCCAGGTGTAGAGGAAGAACAGGAGTGGCACAGAGGCAGGAAGGAACAGCATGTGTTTAGAAAACTAAGTGGGCTGGGCGTGGTGGCTGATGCCTGTAATCCTAGCACTTTGGAAGACTGAGGTGGGTCGATCACCTGAGGTCAGGAGTTCGAGACCAGCCTGGGCAACATGGTGAAACCCCATTTCTACTAAAAATACAAAAATCTGCTGGGCTAGGCAGCATGTGCCAATAGTCTCGCTATTTGGGAGGCTGAGGCAGGAGAATCACTTGAACCTGGGAGGTGGATATTTTGCAACTGCACTCCAGCCTGGGCAACAGAGAGAGACTCCATCCAAAAAGAAAAAGAAAACTGTAAGTGGTTCCATATTACTTAAATGAAGAACATAAGGAGGCAATGATGCAGGAGAAGTGGATGGAAAGCTGATTATAAAAGACTATATTAATTAAACCGACATTGAAGGCCACTCCTTAAACTAAATGTATGGAAAGCTACTGAAGGCAGAGACTTCAGTGTCGAGATTTAGAAATGAATGGAGGAAGAAGCCATGACCGTGAAGAAGGACTTTGCTTCAACCGAGAAGAAAGAAAAAAAGTGCAGACAAAGTGTTTTCAGGTGTCTGCTTTGAGCCAGCCTCTGGCACGCCAGACAGAGAGAGATTTTCTTTCTTGATAAGGTTTGACGGTATTAACCACATTTTATATGTTCATCACACTGAATCCTTATCCCTCTCCCCGTCACTGACAAACCTGCTGTCATTCCATTTTTTTCAAATACTTACAGTGAAATTAAGCAGTTTTCCCAAAGTTGTCTAACAGGAAAATTTAATTTTTAACTTTTATTCTGGATTCCAGGGTTATATGTGCAGGTTTGTTGCAAAGGTATATTGCATGATGCTGGTGTGTGGAGTAAAATTGAATCCGACGTCAAGGAAGTAGGCACAGTTACCAATACAGGTAGTTTTCCAAACCTTGCCTTCCTCCCTCCAGTCCTGCTTTTGTGTTCCCCAGCGTCTATCATTCTCATCTCTATGTCCACATGTAGCTAGTACATTTTCATCCTGGTACTCAAATCTAGGTCTGAATATAAAATCAAAACATCTTGCTACTGAGAGATACTGGCTCTTAAGATTTGAGACTAGTCTGGTGAAAAATTAGAGCCAGTGAGTTTAGCTTGCTAGTGGGTCCTGAAGGCTGGGAATAAAGGAGGAGATCATTAAAGTGTTATTCCAAAGTGAGGTATGCTGATTCTAAGCAGATGCACTTACCACATGATGGCATAGCTGGAGTAGTAGCTGTAATGGGGAAGAAAGAAGAATGCAAATTATTAAAATTTTGCTTTATAATATATGTCACGACATGCTTGGGAAAGCTGAGTTACAGCCCTTTCACTTCATAAAGTCTATCTTGTTAGATTTCATAGAATAGGAAGGATTTGCCTAGTACAGTGTTTTAATTTCAAAACTTAGAGCATTATAAACGAATGAGCTAGTTCTATCAACATTTTCATGAAGATAGCCAATAAATAAAGTTAATATTAAGACCTTTGGGTACACATCTAATTGTGGTATGGCAGCATGGCTGACGATTACACAGCCAAAATATTTTGAAGTTCTTTATTTCTTTAATTAATCTCAATATAAATTTATATAATTATAACCCCCATAGTATGAAGTTTATACTTTTCATTAAAAAATGTCAGAGAAAAGGCAAGGATTGTTTCATTCTCTAGTTTAACTTTTCTAAGCTCTTTGTACATCTACTAGACCCAGGGTAATAAAGGGCCTTCTCAACAAATTGAGTAGTATCTTGTGTGAGTATATGCATTTAAGTGAATAATTAAAAGAGCATATGCTTTGTGAATGCTAGGACATCTCTGCTCTTCTTGATTTTGTGTTGGAAGAATTTGGGAAGAATGGTGGGCTTGCAAGCTCTGATCAGCTCACTTGCTGATTCCCAGATACCACCATTGCTGTATCCATCCCTCAATGTCTCTTTCCTTTATCTCCACACCCTCTCACTGCTTAACTGGAACTCTGCAATCAGCCTTCTGATGCTCACCACTTGCAATGGACAGCCCTTTTAATGGGCTTGTTCTCTTCCATACCAATACCCAAACCCCTCTGAGAAAAAGTTCTAGTAGATGTGATTATTTCTCACACATGTTTTCTGATGGATTATGACAGTAACAATTATATCCTGATCTCATCAACTGTTGCACTGCTAAGCAGAGAAAGGTCTTCCTGCAATTCCATCACCCTCAGGATTCAAACACTGAATGAAACTTAAAGAAATAAGCCCGAGGTAGAGCGGATGGAAGGCCCTTGTGAGAGCACATGGCCAGGCACGTGGGGACTGCATGGTTGCATGACTGAGGGTAATGTTGTCACCTGTTTGGGTGGAATGGACAATGCTTCCAGAAGGGCTCACAGTGGTTGCTTCATGGGAATCTGCAAAAAAATAAACAGAAGAATAAAAGTTAATGAGTTTGTTAGATTAAAAGATGAAAGAAAAACTCTTTAGCAAAGATAATTTCCTAATGGAATCTTTGCTCTAGGAGTCCTCGTTTGATTTGACTTCTGCTTGTTTTTTAAATTGTAAAGTGAAGATTTATTTCACGTCATTTAAACTAAACATTGTATAAATTGAGGAAAAACTGTTCATTCCCTGGTTTAATTCTTACTTACTGTGTGATCTTCCTCAAACTATTTATTTCCCTTTCATTCACAGCTCTCCATATTTGGATTCTTATAAGGGTCACAATTACTCTTTTTAAATATTTGTTGCATATCAGACTTTTTACATATTCAGTCATCAAATTAATATTTTACAATGAGTCTTCTTATGTCCATTTTTATAGAAAGCAAATCTGATATACAGAAAGTATTAGTAATTTGCCCTATAATCAGCTAGAAAGTTGAAGAAACTGGATTTGATCCCAGACCTATATGACATTAAAGCCTATTATTGATTCTTCTTTGCCATACACTTTCATAATATTATTGATAAAATAAAATATGCCCAGAAAAAGCTCAGTGGCAAGTTTCTTTTGCATAATTTGGTGTTGATATATGAACATTTGCAAAATGAGAAAACTGCAAATAATATTTGGCATGAAATAAAAGAGCCACATTAAAGTTTGAGTTTCCATTTCATTTCTGTAACTGAAGACCCCTAGAGCACAGTCAGACCTGGGGAGTTCGCTGTGATGGTGGTGTTGGTGGTGCGTGCAGGTAAGACAGCAGAGCTGTTGCGTGCAGGGATGGGGGTGGTTCCTAATGGGAAAACCGGGTCTGTAGGAAAGGTGCTGGCTGTACTCCTCCCTCCTGGAACATCTGCAATCAGAAGGGCCATCAGCACTGTCACTTGTGTCTGTCATGCAAGGGCAACAGCCAGACAGTTAACATAAACATGATTACGGAAGTTAAGGCAGAGTGACAAACCTTCAATCACTTCTGCTGTACCACGACACATGCATTCTACAGAACAATACCAAAAACACCGGGGTTTATGGGAAAGATGAATTTAGGAGCAGACAACTGGAAACCTATGCAGCTTCCTAAGTGAGCACAACTTAAAAATATATACAGTTTGGACAGCCCAAAAAGTCCAAGCCTCTGGGCTGACGGCTGCCTTAGGCAATATAAAAAATGCATCAAAGCAGTAGAGACAGGTGGTGTCTTGGTGGTGCTGAGACCATGTAGATGTAAGTAGAGGCTGAGTGTAAAGGTTGGCACAGGAGGAAGAGCAACTTGATACATGCTGAGAGCCTCGCAGGCACGCACCTCTGTGGGGAGAGATCCCTGGGTGCAGGGGCTCAGTTTTAACTTCCTTAAAACAGAGCTGAATAGAATCCTGTCTGTGCCACAGCATGAGTTCAAAGGTTTTCTTTTTTTCTTTCCAGCTGAAGGTTACAATTCTACTTTCACTATTCTGGCTCCCCTGGCTGGTAAAAATCAAATTGGCTTGAAATCCAACAAACTCCACGTTACATTGACATCAGTCTTATTTTCCAATCACATAGGTGCTAATTGGTTAGAACCTAGTGTTGTAGCCAAAGAAACTGCACATTGTACTAGGTTAGAACTTTTCATTGTCAGGCTTCATAATACCTAATGTATTTTACATCTTTGGCCAACATCACACCCAGGATTACACAGAGGCAATCAATGTGTATTCATTTGGTGCCTACTAGATGACTAGCACTATGCTAGTTGCCATGGAAAAAGCAAAGGAAATATGAGCTACCCTCAATTCAAGAGCCTGTTGGGTTATTTTCTGTTAAGATCCCTGGAGTCATCAGTTCAATGCCATGAGATTGGTCTCAGGTTTGCAGGCAGATTCTATGTTTCTGCAGTGATATGCGCATGCACATTCTGAATGTGGCTTTGATTGGAGCATGCAGATGTCTACCAATTACAAATGCAATGCAGTCTATAATTTCACACCTACATTCCATTAGAATTGAAAATGTATCTTCCAAATCATTGAACTTGGATTCTCAGCTCAGTCTTCAAAACCACTTAACCGTGGAATTTAACTAAACCATAAAGTAGAATAAACAACATAAACATACGGTTTTCCATTCTGGATCCCCAGAGGAGGGCTCAGCAGAACAAGGAGAAGAGTGAGGGAAGTTCATTCATTCATCCTTTAAAAAACTCATTCAGACATAGAACTGGCCCTCTGCAGAGTTTTGAAGACAGCTGGGTTTGTCTGTAGGCTTTTTCCACCTTCTTTTCTGAGCTCCTCTCACTTGCTTGTTCCCATCTCCCCTCTCTAGCAGCCCCTGTTCCCAAGCTGTTTTTGAGGCTTCCATTGTCGTCCTCCCCAAACTCCCTACCTTCCCTCCTCCTTATCTGAAAAGTTCTTTTCCCTTGATAGGTAGGTACTCTCAGCGGTGGTTCAAGGGTGGTATTTTCAATTTTAATTAGGTTGCTTAATCCTAATAGATTTTTAATGAGTGCAATTAGCCACTGTGAGTGGAAGAATTCATATCGTTGATCGAGACAGAGCAGATTAGTCTGTGTGACAAGCAGCCCCCAGGGGTCAGTCCCCTTTCGTTACTTTACAGTTTCTGCCCCTCCACAATTTCTGGATCTGTGGATTTGCTAACAGCTTTAAATGTTTTTGTTGTGGCTCCCATGGCAGCTGGACTAGGTGGAATGAGGCAGGTGAGAGTGGCTCTTCTCCCACTTGTTTAAAGTGTGAATTGTCTGGAATGATTTTTATTCCAAGGGCACAGTTTCAATACTACAAAATAAGAATTATTCTATTGATGAGTTTGATTCCTACCTAAAGCAAGACCATGTTCCTTACAGCTACCTAAGCCTACCATTTATATCTTTAACTTTCAAGTGCTCAGGTTGCTGAAATTATATATGCGATTGTGTGGATTTATGATCTGACAAAAGACATATTCGTTTTTCATGCACATAAAGGGGCACCACGAAGTGATCTGGACACTGATTTCGGAAAGAAAAGGGAGGGGATATTTTGCGTTGTTGCTATAAATACAGAGATGCCATCCTGAAAGATTCCTGATGTTTAAAATAGGAAATGAGACCTCATTCATTTCTTTTTTTCTCATTCTTTAAATAACAATTTCATTGTGGTTACAATTTCTCACTGCCCTTCATTGATAATAAGTATCACTCTTCGCCTTTTTGTTTGTCGGTACAAAGTCTTTAAGTAAAGATTTATGCAAATTATTTCCTGTAACATAAAGCTTTCCCTGTAGAATGATAATTGCCTAAAATATATTTAAAAAGACTATCCGGAATAACTCTTTCATCCTGAGCAGATTTTTGCTGTAGTCTCACAATTTTCCTTATTTTTTCATCTCTCTTAAAAGGATATTTGTTCTGTGGTTTCGTATTCCTAAGAGTGACTGAAATTCCAAATTCATCAACTAGCAAGGGCCGCACGTGGAATGAGTGGTTAGGTTTCCTCACATCATTCTTAAATACAGATAGTTGTTATGCACTCTTCGTATTTGCACAAGTCTAAAGGACCCGCAAACCTGAGGTGTCATTGCTGCCTGGGGCAGGGCTGAGTGTGGCATGGGCGGCAAGGCCGCTGAGTGCCTGCGTGTCAGTTCCAGCAGAGGGCGTCTGCGAGTCTGCGTGCGTGGGAAGGTGAGGCGGCTGTTCTGATGGAACACCTAAGGTCAGAAAGTGAGATCATTACATCAATCTTCCCCGACTGGAGATGAATAATTTAAATACTAAGAGATAGTAAGGAGCAAATTGCGATTATAGTTTACCGAGCTGTGAAGTGACCTGATCTGTTAAAATCTGTCTACCAGTATTTAAGTGCTTGGCTGGAAGGTGGCAGGCACTGGAGGTTTTCTGAGCTGCATACCGCCATAGAGAATTGCTGTTTCCAGGTGGCTTTACTGACTTTCAGATTACCACGAGCTTTCTGAATTCTCCATCAACTCTACTAACTGACAGATGGGGCGTTTCTTTGTAAGCAGAATAAGAAAGGAGACTTCCAGTATACCAGTATCTCTTACAAATCACAAAGAAATTAAGAAATTTAAAAATGGGAAAGAGGTGACAGACATCTACCTAATATACACAAGGGCCAAAAGCTATATGAAAAAATGTTCAGTGTTATGAACAATTCTTTAAATGCAAATCAACATGAAATAGTTCTAGCTAGCATACTGGCAGAGTTTTTAAAAACTGATAATCTCTAGTGTTTGAAAACCTGGAAACAATCTCACATGCCCGTTCTTACACACACAGTCTCACACACACACATTCACTCTCACATACTCACAAAATCATATGTCGATAGCCTCAAGGATAACCAACAGTGGGTAAAAAGCTATCTTTAAGGAACAGAATTTAAAGGGATGGCATTTTCATTGTGTATCTTTTAAGTATATATAAAGTATACATCTTATGTACTTTAATCCTATATGTATATGTATGTATATATAGGATTAAAGTATACACACACACACAATGCATACATATACCTTATAGATACTTTAACAGTATATACATATATATACATACACAATTAACAGTATATACAAATGTATATACACATATACCCATCTGTATTGAGAATGTTTTGAAGTAAACTATTTTTATAAAAGTAAAATTACATAATTTAATATTATACATATGGATGGTCATTGTAATCATTTTCAAAAATGAATAATTTTTAAGAGTGTATAGAATATTCTTAGAAATGTAGATTAAAGGATTCCCCCCAATTATATCAATGAAAAAATTGGTTGCATTATGCAATATAAATCAATCATAACCATAAATTGAACTATTCGTTTAGACTTTATTCCAATAGATAATTGAAATATCATCTGATGAATAGAATTTTTTCTAGAAAAGAAAGTGTGTTTTATTTCAAAGCATAAACTTTTCAAGCTAATTTCACCATCAATATTATTTTGCTGAAGCAAGTCAGTATTTTTAAATTACTCATTCTTATTTTCAATCTATTCCATTTTAAACCTTTCTCATACTTTGCTCTATCTATAAATTTATGGCTTAAATGTTTTTAGATTTTAAATCTGTGGGAATAAAAGTTGGGAATATTGCATGTTATTTGTATATGTGAAGAGAAATACAGAACCTTCAAAAGGAAACCTTGATGACACTCCTCAGGTAATAAAATAATAATAATAAAATAGCATGAGATCTTCTACCTAGGCATGAGCACCTTTATCCTTGCATTTCTTTTGTAAAGATTTGGGGCAATGAGTTCAAATGTTTACAGTATTTAGACAGGTCCTGGTCACTACTCTGCTCTGGTGGCAAGGAAACAAATGAAGATTAAATACAGGGCCCTGGCCGGGCGCGGTGGCTCTCACCTGTAATCCCAGCACTTTGGGAGGCTGAGGGGGCCAGATCACAAGGTCAGGGGATCGAGACCATCCTGGCCAACATGGCAAAACCCCCATCTCTACTAAAATAAAAAGAATTAGCCAGTCGTGGTGGTGCACACCTGTAATCCCAGCTACTCGGGAGGCTGAGGCAGAGGAATCACTTGAACCCAGGCGGTGGACATTGCAGTGAGCCAAGATCACACCACTGCACTCCAGCCTGGTAATAAAGCTAGACTCAATGTCATAAAAAAAAAAAAAAAAAAAAAAAAAGTCCTGTACTTGCTGTAAGAAGGCACTGGCCATTTATTTAACTGCTTCCTATATCCAATAAACTTCATCAGTATCATGCTCAAAATACTTTGATGTATCCTAAACAAAATTTCTGTGATGGTGTTATACATTTTTTTTTCAAACGAAGATTGTTAAGCAGGTCAAATAGCTTAGCATCTTTTATCAGAGTATGTCTATAAACCTGTTCGCCTAAAAAAAATGGCAACATAACACATTGTTTCAGAAAAGTATGAACACTCTCCTGATGGTACATTTGTGTACTGAATACACTGACAGACCTAATGCTAAACATTAAATGAGAAGATACATATATCAGCATTCTAAGGAGCATCAGTGCTCCTCCTCAGCAAAAATATCTCTCATATCAATCTGATTTTTGCTAGGAACATTTAATTTTATCAGTAGAACTCACAACCTTAATTTAAAAATGTTTCCAATAATGCAAATGCTCTTAAAAGAAACTCAAATAACAAAATGTGATTGTCAATTCTCAGAGTGAATTTTAAACACTACATTGTCTATTTTCAACCATTTTTGGATAATGAGAATCTAGAATGAAATAAAGAAATGGGAAGATTCCTGTTTAAGGCACCTTCCAAAGAGAGCAGGACTGGTAATCTCCGAACTAGAGAATTCTGATCTGTCCAGCCGGCGGGAACCCAAGTGAGCAGGAACTGGGAGAATCATGGAGAGTGAGCAGATCAGAGGATACTAGAGCAAATGTACCCTCCTGATTGTACTTGGAGATCTTGCTTCCCACCCTTTCTCTTTCCTCTCCCTAACAACATGCATTAATTACTTCAGTCAACCTCTATTTCACAGATACTTAATTTCCTGCAATTTCTGTACTTGAATAAAATCACATGCTTAAAAACTGTGCACATAATTTAAAGACAAGCTGTACTGATAACTTAAGAACTTTTTAATGATGCTTGCCCTAATATTTAAGTCAACAACTTTTGTGTGCCAACCTGTCGTTTTAAAAGCACTGGCATTATCCAAAGAGTCCGGGGATACTTGGGTTGCAGTACTGGCCGGACTAAGAGAAGGCGTGGTCTCTAAGAAGCCATTTTCTCTTTCAGAGATGCTTGCGAGTGAGAATGCAGTGGTGTGAGTAGGTAAGGGGTCACCTGAAAGTGGAACACTGGACTTCTTTGTTGTTGTTGGTCCTGTTATATGAACGGAAAATGGAAGAAGAACAAAATAAATATGTGAATCATATCCTAAAATGTATGCTTATCTGAGTGTATGAACTACCCAGTCCCAGTCCATTATCGTGCATGTGTATATGTATCTACACATACACACACACACATATGTACTCGTAAATATGTATACACATATATACATGCATATATACAAATGTTGATACATACAGAAATGCATATAATATATAGACACAGATCTAAAACAAGCTACAGAACATTGGCTGAAGGTAAAAGTGGGGAAATGAAATTGGAAGCAGCTATTCTCTACCCTCTGCCCATTCATTGCTGGCTTCTCACCTAGCCAAAGCAGCTGAGTTCAGAAGGATGAAGCATAATGAATAAAGATGATTTTAAAAAATTAAAAAGTTATAGATAAATAAAAGGATAGAGAAAGGTAAAGTTAGAAGGTTTTTAGGAGAGCTAGGGTTTCAGGAGAAAAAAATGAAAGACAAAACTTCTATTTACTCATGGAATTTTTAAAAAATGATTAAATGTAAACAAAGCAATAAAAATGTGTGCAAAGGACTGAAAAACAAAACTCATAACTAGGTTTATAAACAACCGAAGTCTACAGAAATGTCTCTGACTTCGTGATAATGAAGACACACAATTTAAGGGCAATTTGCAGGGCAAATTGGCATTGTTGATGAAAGTCCTTTAAAATTTTTTGTGCTTTTACTGAAAAAAAAGTGGTTTTCTTAATAAAAGAATAGAAAAATAGATCAAATTTGTTTTAAAACAAACTCATGTGATCTCTGGATGTTGGGATTATAAAGACGTATTTTTTAAAAAAATTTTTGTTTAACACAGATTTACTTTTTGAAAAACAAAAAATATATTTTAAATATTTAATTAAACAAAAACTAAGCCAAATCACACAACAAGTAATAATTCAGCTCAACAAGATTGGGTAAAAGACAAGGGCACAAATATGGAAAGAGGGAGAGAATGAGAGAAACTAGAGAAGGAGTAGGAATGATAGGACAGGAAAGAGTTAATGAAAATTGCAATATTACTAAGCAGAGCAGAAAATAGAAATAGTAAGATTTTAAAAACCTCAGTTTTATTCATTAGTGTCAAAGCTAAAGTTAATTGTTACCAAATACAGAAAAAAGTCATCTTAATCATATTGAACTTCAGCATTGCCAATACATGAAATATTACGGAACTATTCTGTGATTAAAGAAATGCAAATCATCATAGACTTGTTACATGTGTTATTTTCCAGTGAAAAACTCCAATCTCTAGATTATTATAACCAAATAACTCACAAATAATTCCATCAAACTTTCACCCATAATTACATGCCAACATACCTAACTAAGTACATTAGGATAGTAATTACCTGTAGTTGTCAGTGAAAAATCAGGTCTAACTTTATATTTTTTCATCTGCTATGCATTGAACAAAAGAAAGGGGGCCAGGCATGGTGGCTCAGCCCTGTAATCCCAGCACTTTGGGAGGCTGAGGCAGGCAGATCACGAGGTCAGTAGATCAAGACCTCCTGGCTAACACCGTGAAACTTTGTCTCTAATAAAAATACAAAAAGTAGCTGGGCTTGGTGGCGTGCACCTGGAATCCCAGATACTTAGGAGGCTAAGGCAGGAGAATCACTTGACGTCAGAAGGCAGAGGTTGTAGTGAGCCAAGATCATGCCACTGCACTCCAGCCTGGGCAACAAAGTGAGACTCCGTCACAATAAAAGATAAAAATAAAAAGGGAGAGAGGGAGGGTGGGATAAAAGAAAGGAGGAAAAGAGAATAAAGAAGGGAGTTGGGGATAAGGGAGTAGAAAGAAAGTAGAAAAGGAGCTAGGGAAGAAGGAAGGAAAGAGTTTAAAATTCTGTCTATTCACATTAAGTCCCTGTCATCATTATAGACTTGACAATATGACAGTTATTAATTTGTTATTTTTAGGTTAAACCAACTCTGGTGTCTGCAGGCTTCCAATGATCCCTTTTGCTTTGAGAGAAATGTTGCAACAAGTTCCCTTTATCATCCACTCTCACACTTTTATTAGATGTGAATTATAAAGAGACCTGAAAGAAAATTATGCCGCTTTCTCCTTGTAATAGTATGTGATGGTTAATACTGAATGTCCTCTCGACTGAATTGAAGAATGCACAGTATTGTTCCTGGGTGTGCCTGGGAGAGTGCTGCCACAGGAAGATTAACATTTAAGTCAGAGGGCTGGGAGAAGCAGACCCCTCACCTCAATGTGAGTTAGTATCATCCATCAACTGCCAGCACAGCTAGAACAAGCAGGCACAAGCAGGTAGGAGAAGACAAGACACTCTGCTGAGTCTTCTAGTCTTCATCTTTCTCTCGTGCTGGCCGTTTCATGTCCTTGAACATCAGACTCCAAGTTCTGCAGGTTTTGGACTCTGAAACTTACACCAGTGGTTTGCCAGGGGCTCTCGGGTCTTTGGCCACCGACTGAAGGCCGTACTGTCAGCTTCCCTACTTTGAAGGTTTGGGGACTGGGGCTGGCTTCCTTGCTCCTCAGCTTGTAGATGGACTATTGTGGAACTTCATCTTGTGATTGTGCGTCAATACTCCTGAATAAACTACCCTTCATATACACATCTATTTGATAGTTCTGTCCCTCTAGAGAACCCAGACTAATCCCTAGTACCGTGCTATCTTGAGGAGTAGCGTTCCTGAAGATTACTTCTAGCCAAGCAAATTCAATCCCGGGTGTAGGAAGAAAGGGCTTTCAGAGAACTACTCTCCTTTATATCTTTGCACACATCTTAAGTTCAATTCACATTCTCATTCACAACTAAGAATTTAAAATTAGAAAACCTGTCTCAATTGCCAATTCCACATTGTTCTCGAACCTCTGCTTTGCAAATTCTCCTGGTTTCCATTGATTACATAGTTGTGGCCAATATTTGGGAGAGACCATTTTCCTTTGCATTTTGGTTAACAGTTTTAACTTACCTGGTTTCATCACTTGGAGGCTTGTCACAATAGAGTCAATTCAGAAATAACAGAAATTCCCTCAACAAGTTGATGAGTCATCTGTCATTTTAAGCAATCACTTCCCATTCTACCTTACACCCATCCCTTTCCTGCAAATATAACCAGTTGGTGTGGTTGAGATGAATCAATCTTCTGTAAAAGTTGGAGATGCTAAGTTGCATTTGAGTAGGTGGCATAAACCAATCACGATGTACTATGCAAGAATGACTTTTATTTACTTACAAAACATCCCTGCCATGCTAAAAAACTGTAAAATTATATTAGAACTTTTTTTAAAAAATAAGGGAATATACTTCTTATGCAGATTCAGAAGTGTTTGCATTAGTATTTTCACGGTTATTTGTTTTCTTCATTTGAACTGAATTTTTTTAATGACAAAAATAATTATCTTAATAATCCAATTTCAAGATATGTTGAAATTGTGCATTATAATATTAGTTAGAATTCAGCATTATAATATTAAATCAAAATTATCTTAGTAGTTTTACTTCCCTTCTTAACACATACTGTCAACCATATGATTATGCAGGAAGCAAATAATACGTTTAGAGTAACAAAATTAAGTGATCTGAGTTTTAATCATCTGCAGTTTAATTTTCTCTTATTTTGTATGTACTGTGTATGAATTTGTACCATCTCCATTTTTTAAATTTATCTCAGGATTAAGACATTCATTAGGACTATTAATTGAATTGTTCAGTAAAATTTAGAAATTATTATTTTAAAGTGTCTTAATAGTCTTAAAAGTTTTGCGTACCATTGAGAAAAGCAACATACTCTTAAAAAGTGATGGACATATATAAATCTGTTATCTACATATCTATGATGTAAATAGACAATTTCTTAACCTGCTTTTAGACTATCGAATATCGTGATCTAAATTGAATGCATTTATTTGTAGTCTAAAATATTAAAAGAGAGTAGAAACATGTTGTGTGATTTACTGTCAAGTTTAAGAAAAGTTACTATTTATACACAAAATATATATACAAATTTAATGACATGTTCATTTATGAAGTTGTTATTAAACTTTATAACATATAGCAGAAAGTTTAAGAGCAAGTGAATGTCGAGAACTATTCATGATTAGAAAGTTTATCCTTAAAAATGATTTCAGTGATAATAATAAAAAATTGTATCAAAGTTAAATATATAAACTCTGCAACAAGAAACTAAATTGAGTAAAAATGCAAATATTAATTCTTACCAGTGGTGGGAGAAGTTTGGTTTTCCCCTGAAAAAAAAAACAAGAATCTCTTAGAAAATTTTGAATTTCATACATATTCGTGTAAACATATATTAGATTTTTACATGTACCTCAAGTCTATGATAGAACATTCACCAAGTGGCTATTTTCAGTAGCTTTTACCGTAATGAAACTATATTCCCTCTCTTAATATCATGCTTACAAAGCCTAAATATGTCAAAATTATGTTATTTATTTTTTAAATCCCCAGGCTAAATCAAAAACGTAACAGACTAAGAGATCACTAATGGGATTAATTTCAAGCCTGCAAAAGGCTTCTGAGAAACTTTCGAAACATTTTTTTCCTCAAATGCATTCATTTATTTAGATAATGATGATTAATTGAGCACCTATTTTGTGCTAGACATTATGCCTCATGCTAGGGATATAATATGACAAACCTGTAAAAATTCCCTGCCCTCAATGAGCTAAATTTAGTGTGAGATATAAACAATAACCATTGATACAGCGTGATGACAGGTGAGACAGAATGTGCTAAAGAAACACATAACAGTATTATCTTATTTATTTTCCAGAGTTGGTGGTTGGCTGGTAGAGGAGTTGATACAGAGGGTTTATTGGACATATCTAAGCTATGACCAAAAGGATTGCATATAGTTAGCTTGGTCCTTGAGGAATAAGAAGCTGGGAGTTAGCTTTCAGGCTTTGGACAGCATTAGAGGGATGTCGTTAAAGGGAGGCCTAATGGAGAAGCATTTGAACTTTAACGGAAAATGGATTATTAGAGAGCAAAGGTGGGGCAGGAAAATAAGGAGACTAAAAGCAAAGCAAAAGAGACAGAGATGATGTCTTACTTGGAGAGAATTGTGCCCCAAAAGAAAGGCTGGGGGAAAAGGTCCATGAAACACGTAGGAATCATCAAGACTCTGTAAATCCTTGCAAGTTAGAACAAGAGAGAAAGAGTAATAAGGAAAATATCTTTTAACATGCTAGTGAGTTGCGGTTTCACCGAACTTAAGAAGTAATAAACAGTAAGTTGGGAGAGGCAAATTGGAATTTGCTTGCAATTCCATGTGAAAATGTTTAATAGCACTTGAACATAGAGGTTTGTAGCTCATGATATACATCTGGGCTGAGCCTATAGATCACCATATAGATACATTTTGCAGCTATGCAGGTGAGGGAGATCATCAAACCACATAAAAGAGAAGTATCCAAGATAGAATCCTGAAATTCAATGAATATTAAGGGGAGAGCCAGCAAAAGTAACCACATTTCTTAAGTAGGAGGAAAATTGTAGCCAACAAGAATACCCAAAATACCCAAGTAGAGGGTATTTCAAGAAAAAAATGACTGAACCAAATAATATGGAGGTAAACATGGAGGATTAACGTGGGGCAACTGGATTTATCATCTGGGTTTGTGGAAATGTTGAAAAAAGCAGCTTTCTTGGCATAATAGGAACTAGATTCAGTCTATAGTGAAGTGTGACATTTTCATCCCTCATCTTAGTAAATGACAATTTAAAATATTGTAGAGTTCTTTCCAAATGACAGCAAACTCAAGTTGTTAAAGGGAATCAGAGATCAGATGGAAGAATGAATTAGCTGGTATTTAAGGTGACTTCCTGCCTCTATATTTTATTTTCTGAGCACAAACTGATGTGAAAACATTTCCTTCCTTCAGAGTTGCCATCAAAGGAGCATCACCCAGTATTCTTCAATGACATTCCCTGGCTTATTCTTTGAAGTAAAATGTATTTTTGTTATACATATTTTTATATCATTGATGGGTGATATGTAATTATTAACATATTTATTTTCTCATATTTCTCTATTTTTCTTAACAATTCATACTTAAATATTGTTTTTAATTTATATTATTTGTATTTTTGTCCCTTTTCTTGTTTAGTTTTTATCTTTCTGTTTCACATAAATTATTATGTTTATTTTCCTGCTAATAGCATTCCCTCTCTTCTTATTTGTTCTTGTTTCCTTCTAAATTAAAGTATTGGAATTGTGTTGATTTGCAACAGAGGTAATAAGAAAAAATATTAGCATAGCAATAACTAATAGCTGTCATGTTTTAAATGAAAGGAAAAGTGTCCTTCATTATTTGTGAAGAACACAATATATCACCAAATTTAAAATACTCAAGTTACTTTTCAGTATGTGAATATATTTTGTACAACACCTATGTCTTCTTTATCTGAGAAACATATGAGCTCTTAAACATCTAAAATTATGTTGCTATGCCCCTTCTCATACAAGCACCTAATTCCTTAAACTTGAAACAAGTTAATTTGGTTCACTTAGGTTCAAGAAACATATATTGTTGTGCTGGCATGCTGTTAGAAACTAGGTTCCAACATGATAAAAAGCATGATCCTTGCTCTGGAAAAGCTCATAATCCATAAGACACTTACATCCAGTCATCTGCAAAGGCATTTCAGTCATGGATACACTTAAGACTAATCATCAAAACTCCTCCCATCAACATCTATATGAATCACATAATAAGAAGAGGAAGAGAAGGAGAAGAGAAGCAGCTGTAGCCAAGAGTCTTGTGTATGAGAAGTGATTGATTAGTCATTGTTGGATGCTTTTAAGCAAGAGTAAGTGCAAAGAAGAAATCAAACAGATCCAATGATAGCAGCTTTAGAACAAGAGCCAAGGAGCAAGCATTCTAGGCCGTGATAAGGTGGTCAAATTTTTCCTCAGAATGATGGAAGCCATTGGATCAGTTAATATGGAGGAGAAATCAGAAAGTAAATTTGATGACAGAGAAAAAGAGGACTCTTAATGTTACCTGCACCACTAATTCCACAGACCACTATATTCTATTGTTCTGATTTACTACCTTGTTGCCACCAAAATGTGTAGCACCAACTAGAGTGTTTCATAAAAGAAAATTATAATTCATTATCTGTTTAGTATAGAAATGAGAAGAAAAATGCTGGCACACTATGTGAATCTATTTCTTTTTTAACAAAAGAACTGTGATTACCTGAGTAAATATACTAGAAATGTTTCCAACCGGTACACTATTCATCAGACTACATACATGTTCCATGTCTCAGAGAGATTAATGAAATTTCAAGTGGTCTAAAAGCAGTAAGTTTTTTAAAAAAAAACACATGATGTATAGTATTTTGATCTAACTTCTGAAAAAAAAGACAAGAGGTATATTACCAAAATGAAGAAGACTATTTCTAGTGATTTACTTTTTTAAAGAATTCAGAAATGTTAGTATAGTACCTGGCATCCAGTGAACACTCAGTAAATATTAACAATAAAAATAATATTATATTTTCTTTTATTTTTTGAGATGGAGTCTCGCATTGTCGCCCAGGCTGTAGTGCAGTGGCGCAATCTCTGCTCACTGCAGTCTCCGCCTCCTGGGTTCAAGCAATTCTCTTGCCTTAGCCTCCCAAGTAGCTGGGATTACAGGTATGCACCATCATTCCCAGCTAATTTTTTTTGTATTTTTAGTAGAGACGGGGTTTCACCATGTCGGCCAGGATGGTCTTGATCTCTTGACCTCGTGATCAGCCTGCCTCAGCCTCCCAAAGTGCTGGGATTACAGGTGTGAGCCACCACGCCCGGCCTCTATTTTCTGTCTTAAGCATCACAATAACCTAAGAAGTTTAGAAATGTCAAGTGTCTTGGCCAAGTTCACAAGGCACAGTCTAGTATATGTGAGCCAGATTTGAACCTGAGCCTGTCTGACTTCACAGGCCAGCTCTCCCTCTTCAGGCATCCCTCTTCTCCCAACAACTTGTCCTCATAGCCTTTCCTCTTTAGGTGAAATTTAAAGCATGAAAATGATTTTAGAGAAGGTGTTTATAAAAACTCATAAGCTAAGTAAAAATGCATCTTTGACTGCAAGTAAATTACTAGTGGTGTTACAAACGCTAAAATAACCTTGACCCCAAAAATAGGCAGATTAAATTGCAATTTGCTGACTGAATGCTTTATAATGGTACAAACAAACATTAGAGAAAATTCAGAGGTGTGTCAATTTAATTTATTACAGGATATTATTTTGACAGGAAAGTCAAGCAAACTATACTAATGTCAAGCCCGATTATTAAAATTTACAGACTTTTGGTTTAGATGTTAAAAGGTTTCTGGAGCTAGAGCACAGAATAATGGGCATACATACATGTGTTCTTTCTGATCTCATCATCGCTCCATTCAAACTTTCCTCAAATCTTTTCATCTTTAATTGAGCAAAATTTAATATCCTTGGAAAACATCATCACATCTAACGACCTAACATTTTCCTTTCTTCTCTGTTCATGCTTACTTCCCATAAATGCCCCTTCAGTTGAATATGTGTTTGCTTGTACAGCCATTTATCACTGGATATGATTCTAAATTCCTCCACTGAGTAACTTTTAGGCTACACTAAAACACTGTAATCTATGTTTTATTTTATTTTTATATACTATTTCAAATATGCACACACACACAAACAGACACACACACACACACACACACACAACACCATTTTATCTTTTTAAGAGAAAATTTCAAGACTTCAGCATCACCGTTTGGTCTTAGTGTAAGACTAAGGTTGCTTATTCTCATGGTCATAAAACTCCTATAAACAGATTTTTATTTTTGGTAACCCTTTTAGTCAACATGATAAATGATATAAGAGTGTTTTCATCCCTGAACGAAACACATAGAATCAATTTAAAATAAAAATTTAAATTAAAAACCACTGCAAAATTTAAGCCCATGCCCTTAAGAAAATAATGCAGACACTAGAGCAATGCCGCTTGAAGCAACACGTCAATTTCAATAAGCTATGTGCACTATATTACATAATTCTATTTTTTTCAATTTTTTAATGTTAAAAATTTTACCAGTCTTAAAGTAGGAACACACTAAAGGTGACCTATATAAAATAGCTTAGTTAAAACACCTGCATAACATCTAAAAGACATGCCCCACCCCCTCAAAGTCATGTAATGATTTTTACATCAATGTAAGCAGCATACCAGCAAATACTTCTGTGGA